CGTGCGCGAGTGGAGCGCCCTCTGCAGGCCCCCACGGGCGCTGCGGGCGACCGTAAACTCTGGAGTAGAAGCACCCTCGGGGAAGGAAGAGGCGCTGCAAACCCGCGTCCCGTTGCCACGAAGACGTCACACACTTGATCATACAAGACGTGACACACTTGATCATACAAGACGTGACACACTTGATCATACAGGACGTGACACACTTGATCATACAAGACGTGACACACTTGATCATACAAGACGTGACACACTTGATCATAAAAGACGTGACACACGTGATCATACAAGACGTGACACACGTGATCATACAAGACGTGACACACTTGATCATACAAGACGTGACACACTTGATCATACAAGACGTAACACACTTGATCATACTAGACGTGACACACTTGATCATACAAGACGTGACACACGTGATCATACAAGACGTACACACTTAATCATACAAGACGTGACACACTTGATCATACAAGACGTACACACTTGATCATACAAGACGTGACACACTTGATCATACAAGACGTGACACATTGATCATACAAGACGTGACACACTTGATCATACAAGACGTGACACACGTGATCATACAAGACGTACACACTTAATCATACAAGACGTGACACACTTGATCATACAAGACGTACACACTTGATCATACAAGACGTGACACACTTGATCATACAAGACGTGACACATTGATCATACAAGACGTGACACACTTGATCATACAAGACGTGACACACTTGATCATACAAGACGTGACACACTTAATCATACAAGACGTGACACACTTGATCATACAAGACGTGACACACTTGATCATAAAAGACGTGACACACTTGATCATACAAGACGCACACACTTGATCATACAAGACGTGACACACTTGATCATACGAGACGCACACACTTGATCATACAAGACGCACACACTTGATCATACAAGACGTGACACACTTGATCATAAAAGACGTGACACACTTGATCATACAAGACGTGACACATTGATCATACAAGACGTGACACACTTGATCATACAAGACATGACACACTTGATCATACAAGACGTGACACACTTGATCATACAAGACGTGACACACTTGATCATACAAGACGCACACACTTGATCATACAAGACGTGACACACTTGATCATAAAAGACGTGACACACTTGATCATACAAGACGTGACACACTTGATCATACAAGACGTACACACTTGATCATACAAGACGTGACACACTTGATCATACAAGACGTGACACACTTAATCATACAAGACGTGACACACTTGATCATACAAGACGTGACACACTTGATCATAAAAGACGTGACACACTTGATCATACAAGACGCACACACTTGATCATACAAGACGTGACACACTTGATCATACAAGACGCACACACTTGATCATACAAGACGCACACACTTGATCATACAAGACGTGACACACTTGATCATAAAAGACGTGACACACTTGATCATACAAGACGCACACACTTGATCATACAAGACGTGACACACTTGATCATAAAAGACGTGACACACTTGATCATACAAGACGTGACACATTGATCATACAAGACGTGACACACTTGATCGTACAAGACATGACACACTTGATCATACAAGACGCACACACTTGATCATACAAGACGTGACACATTGATCATACAAGATGCACACACTTGATCATACAAGACGTGACACACTTGATCATACAAGACGCACACACTTGATCATACAAGATGCACACATTTGATCATACAAGACGCACACACTTGATCATACAAGACGTGACACATTGATCATACAAGATGCACACACTTGATCATACAAGACGTACACACTTGATCATACAAGACGTACACACTTGATCATACAAGACGTGACACACTTGATCATACAAGACGCACGCACTTGATCATACAAGACGTACACACTTGATCATACAAGACGTACACACTTGATCATACAAGACGTGACACATTGATCATACAAGACGTGACACACTTGATCATACAAGACGCACACACTTGATCATACAAGACGCACACACTTGATCATACAAGACGTACACACTTGATCATACAAGACGTGACACACGTGATCATACAAGACGTGACACACTTGATCATACAAGACGTGACACACTTGATCATACAAGACGTGACACACTTGATCATACAAGACGTGACACACGTGATCATACAAGACGTGACACACTTGATCATACAAGACGTGACACACGTGATCATACAAGACGTACACACTTGATCATACAAGACGTGACACACTTGATCATACAAGACGTGACACACGTGATCATACAAGACGTACACACTTGATCATACAAGACGTGACACACTTGATCATACAAGACGTGATACACTTGATCATATAAGACGTACACACTTGATCATACAAGACGCACACACTTGATCATACAAGACGCACACACGTGATCATACAAGACGCGACACACTTGATCATACAAGACGCACACACTTGATCATACAAGACGTGACACACGTGATCATACAAGACGCGACACACGTGATCATACAAGACGTGACACACTTGATCATACAAGACGTGACACACTTGATCATACAAGACGCACACACTTGATCATACAAGACGTGACACACGTGATCATACAAGACGCACACACTTGATCATACAAGACGCACACACGTGATCATACAAGACGTGACACACTTGATCATACAAGACGTGACACACTTGATCATACAAGACGCACACACTTGATCATACAAGACGTACACACTTGATCATACAAGACGTGACACACTTGATCATACAAGACGTGACACACTTGATCATACAAGACGTGACACACTTGATCATACAAGACGCACACACTTGATCATACAAGACGTGACACACGTGATCATACAAGACGCACACACTTGATCATACAAGACGCACACACTTGATCATACAAGACGTGACACACTTGATCATACAAGACGCGACACACGTGATCATACAAGACGCACACACTTGATCATACAAGACGCACACACTTGATCATACAAGACGTGACACATTGATCATACAAGACGCGACACACTTGATCATACAAGACGCACACACTTGATCATACAAGACGTGACACACGTGATCATACAAGACGCGACACACGTGATCATACAAGACGTGACACACTTGATCATACAAGACGTGACACACTCGATCATACAAGACGCACACACTTGATCATACAAGACGTGACACACGTGATCATACAAGACGCACACACTTGATCATACAAGACGCACACACGTGATCATACAAGACGTGACACACTTGATCATACAAGACGTGACACACTTGATCATACAAGACGTGACACACTTGATCATACAAGACGTGACACACTTGATCATACAAGACGTGACACACGTGATCATACAAGACGCACACACTTGATCATACAAGACGCACACACTTGATCATACAAGACGTGACACACTTGATCATACAAGACGCGACACACGTGATCATACAAGACGTGACACATTGATCATACAAGACGTGACACACTTGATCATACAAGACGCACACACTTGATCATACAAGACGTGACACACTTGATCATACAAGACGCGACACACGTGATCATACAAGACGCACACACTTGATCATACAAGACGCACACACTTGATCATACAAGACGTGACACATTGATCATACAAGACGTGACACACTTGATCATACAAGACGTGACACATTGATCATACAAGACGCACACACGTGCACACACCTCGTGTCACACGTAGCCCTACAACCCCCAACGTTTGCGTGACACATGGGGGAGGGGGGGGGGTGACGAGAGTGCGCGTTGTAGTCGCGAGAATACGGCCCCAGCACGCGCGTGTTGTGGCTGCGAGATGGGCGGCACGTGATGGGGGAGAGGAGGAGGAGGGGGGTGATGGTGGTGATGAGGAGGAGGGGGGTGATGATGGTGGTGATGAGGAGGAGGGGGTGGTGAGGAGGAGGAGGAAGCGCAGAGTCCACGCGATTCATCCGCCCGCCCAGTCGCCACAAGCCGCCGGCTGCTGCCACCACCGCGAGTCGCACAGCTCGAGGCGTGGGGGTCGTCAGCTGTTGGTGAACGAACGGAGCCGCCGCCGCCACCATCATCATCATCACCACCATCATCACCACCATCATCATCATCGTCTCCGTGGTCTCCAAGACGGCATCGTCTGAGCGCCGCGGCCGCGATCTCCTGCAGAGAGCAGCATCGACACCTCGTCTCGGCCCTGTAGTTTAGTAGACTGTAGTTTAGTCGATTGTAGTTGAGTAGACTGTAGTTTAGTAGACTGTAGTTTAGTAGACTGTAGTTTAGTAGACTAGTTGAGTAGACTGTAGTTGAGTCGAGTGTAGTTTAGTCGAGTGTAGTTGCGGGCTCGCTGTCCTCTGGGATTATCGGGAGACGTCGCCACCGGAGCGAGGCACAAGAAGACGGACCCAGCCCTGCCGTGCCCCCCCCCCCACGCCTCCATCCACCCACGGGGTTTAATTCTCGAGTCAAACAAAACAACAACAACAGCAGCAGCTGCTGCTGCGTCCATTCATTGTGAAGCCGGACAAGGGGAGGAGGAGGAGGCTCGATCGGCGCTGTGGAATTTCCAGGGTCGTGGGTTAAAGGGTCGGAGGTTGCCCAGCGGGAGCCTCCAGGGGGTCCAGGGGGTCGAGAGAGTCCGGCAGAGGGGACCCGGGCAGAGGGGACCCGGGCAGAGGGGACCCGGGCAGAGGGGACCCGGGCAGAGGGGACCCGGGCAGAGGGGACCCGGGCAGAGGGGACCCGGGCAGAGTGACGCGGTCAGGCAGTGGGACGAAGGGGTCCAGGGAAGGGGCAGTCGGGAAGAGTTGGGTAGTGGGGAGATCAGCGAGATCTTGGGGTTGTTTGAGAGGGGATCTTGGGGTTGTTTGAGAGTGGATCTTGGGGTTGTTTGAGAGGGGATCTTGGGGTTGTTTGAGAGTGGATCTTGGGGTTGTTTGATAGGAGATCTTGGGGTTGTTTGAGAGGGGATCTTGGGGTTGTTTGATAGGGGATCTTGGGGTTGTTTGATAGGGGATCTTGGGGTTGTTTGAGAGTGGATCTTGGGGTTGTTTGAGAGGGGTCTCTGGTAGAGAAGGCCACCACCGCCACCACCATGGGCGCGTTGTTCCGCAGCGAGAGGATGAGCCTCATGAACATCTTCCTGCCCAGCGCGTCCGCCTTCGCGTGCGTGAGCGAGCTCGGAGAGCGCGGCCTCTGCGAGTTCAGAGATGTGAGTACACACACACACACAGGTACACACACACGTACACACACACACAGGTACACACACACACAGGTACACACACACAGGTACACACACACACACACACAGGTACACACACACACAGGTACACAAAGACAAAGACAAAGATCCCCGTATAGCCTTAACACACTGTAGGGGCAAGTGCTGTTAGCGAGCACCTATGAAGGCCGGAACGGTACACGAGTGGGTGGGTGGCCAGCACCACGCCCGACCGCCTTTGTCTCCCAAGTGGCGATGTTTACACACCGCACCAGGTACTCACTTAAGGCTGAGTCGACCTAGGGGAGGCCCAGAACCGGTTCAGATAATCGTCACTGGTGTTAGCCGTGAGCGGGAATCGAACCCGGGTCGCCAGGTTCATAGCGCAGCGCGCTAACCGCTACACTACCGCTCCCCACACAGGTACACACACACGACAACAACACACACACAGGTACACACACACAAGTACACACACAGGTACACACACACACAGGTACACACACACACAGGTACACACACACACAGGTACACACACACACACGTACACACACACACACAGGTACACACACACAGGTACACACACACAAGTACACACACACAGGTACACACACACAGGTACACACACACACACAGGTACACACACACAGGTACACACACACACACAGGTACACACACACAGGTACACACGACAACAACACACACAGGTACACACGACAACAACACACACACAGGTACACACACACACACAGGTACACACACACAGGTACACACACACACAGGTACACACACACACAGGTACACACACACACAGGTACACACACACACACGTACACACACACACACAGGTACACACACACAGGTACACACACACAAGTACACACACACAGGTACACACACACAGGTACACACACACACACAGGTACACACACACAGGTACACACGACAACAACACACACACAGGTACACACACACAGGTACACACACACAAGTACACACACACAGGTACACACACAACAACACACACACAGGTACACACGACAACAACACACACACAGGTACACACACACAGGTACACACACACAGGTACACACACACAGGTACACACACAACAACACACACACACGACAACAACACACACACAGGTACACACACACACAGGTACACACACACACGGGTACACACACACGGGTACACACACGGGTACACACACACAGGTACACACACACACAGGTACACAGGTACACACACACAGGTACACACACGGGTACACACACACACACAGGTACACACACACACGGGTACACACAACAACACACACACACAGGTACACACACGGGTAGACACACAAAACAAAGAAAACAAAGATCCCCCGTATAGCCTTAACAGGCTGTTAGCGAGTAGCACCTACGAAGGCCGGCACGGCACGCGAGGGGGTGGGTAGTCAACAGCACGCCCGGCCGCCTTTGTCTCCCCAGTGGCGATGTTGACTACACGTCGCACCGGGTACTCATTTGAGACTGAGTCGACCTAGGGGAGGCCCAGGACCGGTTCAGATAATCGTTACCGGTGTTGGCCGTGAGCGGGAATCGAACCCGGCTCGCTTGGCTCTTAACGCAGCGTATCGCTAACCACTACACCCACCGCTCCCCACACATACGCCACGAAGTGTGGCGCTTGTGCCAGGCTAGGTGCATCTTGAGGCTATCATCATGTGCAGTGTGGAAGGCTCGTTGGCAAGAGGGGGTGACGAGACAGAGCCGAGTGTTGTGGGTTCGGCAAAGGCTGTTGGGGCAAGAGCTGTTTGCGTGTGTCTAGCACCACACCCGGCCGCCTTTGTCTCTCCAGTGACGATGTTTACTACACACAGCACCAGGTACTCATTTGAGGCTGAGTCGACATAAGGGAGGCCAGGGCCGGTTCAGATAATCGTCGCCGGTGTTGGCCGTGAGCGGGAATCGGACTCGGATCGCTACACTGTCGCTCCCCACACACACACGTGTGTGGACAGTGTAGACACGCGTGTGGACAGTGTAGACACGCGTGTGGACAGTGTAGACACGCGTGTGGACAGTGTAGACACGCGTGTGGACAGTGTAGACACGCGTGTGGACAGTGTAGACACGCGTGTGGACAGTGTAGACACGCGTGTGGACAGTGTAGACACGCGTGTGGACAGTGTAGACACGCGTGTGGACAGTGTAGACACGCGTGTGGACAGTGTAGACACGCGTGTGGACAGTGTAGACACGCCACGCGTGTGGACAGTGTAGACACGCGTGTGGACAGTGTAGACACGCGTGTGGACAGTGTAGACACGCGTGTGGACAGTGTAGACACGCGTGTGGACAGTGTAGACACGCGTGTGGACAGTGTAGACACGCGTGTGGACAGTGTAGACACGCGTGTGGACAGTGTAGACACGCGTGTGGACAGTGTAGACACGCGTGTGGACAGTGTAGACACGCGTGTGGACAGTGTAGACACGCGTGTGGACAGTGTAGACACGCGTGTGGACAGTGTAGACACGCGTGTACAGTACGAGTGCACACTAGACACTTGTACACACACACGCGGAGACATACGCGAATGTAATGTACAGTACTCTCACACGTTCCTGTGTACACGTGCTCACACAGACAACGCGTACACAAGTCCCCACATACACAACGCGTACACACTAGGGTCGAACGATTAATCCATTTCAAATCGAAATCGCAATTTGAAACAATGCGATTAGCAAATCGCAAAGGCGGCGATGTTTTGCGATTTGAAAAGTCCTATTACTTTCCTATTGGAATTGTTTTATTTATTTATTATAACTTTATTTAACTGAATTGTTCTGTTTGATTGTTTTATTTAAATACATTTAAAAAATACATGTTGGAAGCAATTCATATATTTTAAGTTATCATCCTTGCATTAGAATATATAGAGCAGTTCATATTGTGATGGTATCACGTGGTAATGCTCCATCACATGTTTTAAATCTATTACGCATAGAATATTGAACTGAAGCTTGACTTAAAAAAATGTAATCGCAGATCAAATCGCCATATATTTGTTAGAAAACAAATCGCAATTCGATTCCCCCCCCCAAATCGTTCAGCCCTTGTGCACACGTGCTCACGCAGGCAACACGTGTTCTTACACAGTGCACAAAGAAGACGGAGACAACCCATCCCCGCCCCCATGTAGCCCAGGGCTGTTGAGGGAAGTGCTTTGAGTTAGCTGCGTTAGCATCTGCAAGGCCACACCAAACAAACAAAAAATACCCGTTTCGTCACACAGGTCGTTGTGGAAAGTGCTGTTGGCAAGCGCCTATTAAGGCCTGAACTATGCTCGAGGGGGTGATGGTCAGAACCACGCCAGGTCACCTTTGTATCATCCAATGCTGATGCTTATTAATTTAAGGTCGAGTCGACCTAGGGGAAGCCCAGGAATCGTTTTGATATCATTTGCCATTGATGTTCATCCCTGGTCGGGAATTGAACTCGGGTAGGAAGGGTTCGTAGCGCCACTGCCTCGCGTGTGTACCCAAGCATGGGTGGGGTGGATAAAATGTGAATGCCTTCACCAACCCCACTAACCGGCATGGTGAAGTATGGTCAAACTACCCCCATGGCCGGCAAGGCATGAGTAGGGCTCATGTAACATTAACAAAGAAGCTTCAATTAATCATAATTGGACGCATTGCATGACAATGCCTTTATTGTAATCTTGGCATGTGGCAGTAATAGGAGTGCATTCTATCGTGGGAAGCCTTGCTGAGTCTCAAGACTCATTTGAAGAGGAGTCCTGCTACATTCTGATGTTTGGCCAATTCCAGTAATGAGAGTTTGTCTTCTGTGTTGAAGAAACCGGAGAACATCCACCACTCATAGATAGGGGGAGGTGACACTCAAAGCCCCGCACATATGAATTCAAGAATCCGTTGCTGTGCTTCCATCTCCTGGCCACACCTCTCAGCCAGTCACAACCCGATGACAGCAGTACCTGCTATTCCCAAACAGCCTCCAACCACACGGAGCACTGACCAGGCCCAACACTGGCAATTTTAAATATTAAATGTCCCCCCCCCCCCCCAAGGGATGGCACTGAAAGTTCAGTCCCAGGGATAAGCCAGCGAAATCATCCCCCCCCCCCATCATTTCACACCATGCTGCAATGCTGTTTGTGTTTGACGCACGTACAGAGTCGTTTGTTGTCCTTCCCCCGCACCTCCGATTAGTGCGGTTGGCTACGTATGGTGCGAAAGAAGTTCAACATACATAGATATACGTACACACACACATTCCTGCACTTGGCATCGCACTTCATCAGGAAGCACTATCTGGAACGCTTTCCACATTCACATGATCGATGATTCACGCTCTGACTCCCCCACCCCTCCCCCCTGATTAGCCAAGGGGGACAAATGTTTGAAAATGTTTCTTGATGTTTGTCAAAGTGGAACCCGTGTCCGTTCATGAACACTTCTCTCCTTGTTTCTGGAAACTTAAGAGACCCACGAATTTCATCTGGCCCCACAAAGTGTTTAAATCCCAAAGTCCAACAACCCGATATTTATTTACCCATCACTGCCAGAATATCAACATTTCCCTTTAACTCGTGTGTGGCCGGCCTAACCCAAAACAAATATGAATCAAGGAGACTCGGGTGTTCTGATCAGTGCACTGATGACCTGGGTGGGTTGACCCAGCACGATTGCACTACTTTGAACCCAGAGATAGTGACGCCGCCCTGTCGAATTTGTCACGAGCCCTCGATGTGCACAGCCTCGTGTGTCGCCATCGCCGCTGGTTGAAATGCGGGTCCGCAACGGCATTACTTAACTCGCGTAATGGCCAACCTGCGATGTTGCACAGTTTGTAAAGTTAACGTGCCTCAAAGAGTTTTGCGTGAATCGGCAGCCAATCAAGAGAATTATGTTGAACTTCTGTCGTACCGTACATAGCCAATCATGGCACAAGAGTGGACACCGGCAAGGGCTGTGATTCACGCGACGGTGAAGCAATCGTCACAAACTACACGACCGTAACGTGAAGTTCCCCTCTCGTACTTTTAACGTAACGCAAGGCAACGTCCAGCGTCGGCCATCCTGAGTGTTGAGGCTGGAAGCCCACCCAAGGTGCGATCAGTGCCAGTCCGAATATACGAATCCAGGAAATAGAAACTAAAACTAAACTCTTTTTTTTATTTTACCAAACAAGTCCCACTGAGCTATGTAGCTCTTTTTCATAAGCGACCTGGCCACAAATGATAGCGCAACGAAGTGGCTTATGTGTGTAAATTAATATCAGCCAAATACTCTTAAACGCATGTTTCTAAATATGGAGGGAAAAACCAGAGGACCCGGAGAAAAATCCACGTGACCATAGGGAGAACATGCAAGCTCCAAATATACAGGTGTCAGGGTCGGGATCAAAGCCACGACCTCCTGCATACCTGGCGAGGGAGATAACATCTTGCCACCGGGGTGCCCATTTACGAAGTTCTAAGGAGTGGAGCCGGTCCAGAAGGTGTGGACTGGTTCAGCAAAATGTGCACTGCCCCCGGCACTTTGTAGAATGACTCGGCTTATTGTTGCAACGTGTTGGGTGGGGGGGGCGCGGGTTGAGTTCAGGATCTGCAAATGGCGGAACGCGTTTCGCCAGCCACACGGCCGTTGTACGTAGCGGTTGAATGATCAGTGGTGGGCGAACCTCCCGCGGAGCCGCTGCAGGGCTCCAGTGAAGCTGAAAGCTTCTGCAATTCGTGGGAAAACGCAACATCCCGCATGCCGGATGGGCATGGCGGGAAGGGCACGCGCTCTCGCACACGTGGCATTCGTGTCTTCAGTGTGCGTACAAATGGCACGGACAGTATACACGGCGTTCACGTGGGGGCAGAGTGGCAGAGCAGCGGTTAACGCATTTATTCACCGCTGAACCCTGCCACCTAAGTTTGAATTCCGGCAATGGCTAATGCCAATCCCGCACCGACCGGCATGGTAAAATATGGCCAAACAACTCCCATTACCGACACGGTATGGAGAGAGGCCCTCATCCAGCAACGGTCCATGATTGATGACAGCGCTATGAACCCGGCAACCTGAGTTCAATTCCCATCCACGACTATCACCAGTAGAGAGTGATCTCTTGAGTCGGTCCAGTAAATTATTATTAACATCTTCAAGATTTCACGTTTGTCTTATTCTTGACACCGCAACTTTTATTTCCATTGTTTAAACCCCCTTGCCCACCTTAACTTCCCACTGACCCCCTGACCTTACTTCTGGTGACCTCAGCCTCTCCCTGCTGACCTCTCCCTCCCCTCCCCCAACCTCCTCCCACTATTATCTCGTGAACGCGAGCAGATGAACGCCGGTGTGAACGTGTTCCAGCGGCGCTTTGTGGGCGAGATCCGTCGCTACGAGGACATGGAGCACACCCTGGGTAAGGCGCTGGTTGCTGGGGCAGCATCGTCAGTAACCACCCATGGTCTATTCACTGCTGGTTGTAGCGGCTTTGCACCTTCTGCCACTGACCCTCGTGCCCCCGGCAAAAAAAAATATTGTGCCCCAAAACACAAGCTGCGTTTGTATTTTTGTCCATTTCCCCACCCCCCAAACGGCCTACGGAAGCGTTCATCACAGAACTCCTTCCGAGATATCCTTGCTATTAATATTCCACGGCTTACATCGGTTGCGAATGACATCTGCATCTGGGCCTGGACAACCCCCTCTCCTTCGCCAATCCGCACTGACCAACATGGCGAAGTATGTTCAAACAACCCATGTAACCGACAAGGCGTGGGGGAGGTCTTCATCCAGTAGTGGACGGCGCAGGCCTGCACACCTGTGTGTGTTTGTGTGAGAGTGATGGAGAGGTAGTGTCACGGTTAGCACGTTGCGCTATAAATACGGTGACCCGAGTTCGATTCCTCTCATGCCCAACACCAGTGACTATTATCTTAACCGGTCCTGGGCCCTCCCCTATGTCAACTCGGCCTCAAAATGAGTACCTGGTGCAGTATTTACACACCCCGCCCCCTCGTGTGCCATGCCTGCCTTCATTGGTGCTCGCTAACAAGCGTTGCCCCAATAGTCTGTTATGGCTACACGGGGGATTTTTGTTTTTGTGGTAGAGAGGTTGGCGGGAATATGATTTGTGGAACTGATGGAGAGTTTCCACAGCGACCATGTGCCGGGCCGTCTGAGTGAAAACAGGAAACGCAAAAGAGTGTTTTTTTTTTTATCACAGCTGCCTCGGTGCCACCGCAGATCGCTGCCCGTAGACCCAAGCGAGTGAACCCACATGCCCGGTCACATGCTGAACAATCCGCTAGGCCCTTAACGTTATCAATCGTTGACCGTCGGGTGAGTGTGGCCTGTGTCTCCGACGTAAGGGCCGAGGGAGCAGAGGAGAGCATCTGCTCGTTCAGGGGTTTTCCTCTCCACAGCCAATTTCACTTCCTTTATTTTCACGACGACAGTTGTGTAGCGTCTAAATGTGACCACTGTATAGACAGAGCTTTTGTAGGGGAGTGAGGGAGAGGGGAGAGGTGGGAGAGTGCGTGGAGGGGAGGAGAGTGGGATGAGAGGGAGAGGTAGGAGAGTGCGTCGAGGGGAGGAGAGTGAGTTAGGAGGGGAGAGGTAAGCAGGGCTGAGTCTGCCTCCCTTCTGTACTGTGAAAGATTCACGGCTAATAAAACATTTTACGGGTTTGGAATCAATATAAATAATTATCTAACATGTTCGTGTTTTTGTCTGACATCTGCTTGAGATGTTTGTCCAGTTCCTATTTTTTTTAGAGCTGTGTGAGCGGAGGATCTGCTTACCAGTGACGACCCCACGGCTTAACAGAGACGTTAAGCGTCCTGCTGGAAGCGTTAGCGAGTCAGCCTCAGTTGGTGGGTTGAGTGACAGATTATTTATTTACATCCGTGGTGGAGGCAGTGGCCACGAGTCGTGCATCTTCCTGCCGTGATGCCGCCGTCTCCTTCCCGTCGATTCCGGGAGGGTCAGGGGGTCGGTAGCGGAAGAAGAGGCATTTCAAGAGCCGCAACGCACGCGGATGCGTACACTGCACGCGTGACGTCACGAAGCAGCCCGTAAAGAGGGGCGCACGCGGCTCCGGAGCTGCGGGTTTCCGACCCCTTGCAGAGGTGGGGGGGTGGGTACGGGAGATTGATTGACGTTCGAGGTCGCACTTTACCCCCTTGGGGCCTTGAGAAGATCGGTGTTAGCGGGCGGCGGGGGGGCATTTTAAGGACGTTGAGAAACATAACTGAGCGGACACGAGTCGTTTACTGTTGGATGACTCTGGCGATTAAACAGACCCTTGGAAGGTCAAACACATTTTGTGTACGGGAATCGTTGTGTAAAAAAAGAAGCTGTAAAAGATGAATGTGGAACTGAATAGATCCGCTTTTTCACATCCTAGTTATTGAACCGATCGTGACGCTTCCTCGTGCGTTATTTGTTTATTTAAACGACGTGCAAGGGGGCCTCGTCGTCACGCACGTGCCGACTTGCCCCCTTCAACGAAACGTCTCAGCGACACCACGCACACACGCGCTCACGCACACACGCATGTACACACGCATGTACACACGCACACACGCACACACACGTACACACGCATAACAACAACCGCCATTTGCCCCTAAGTGGCGGTGACATCACCACGACGCTTGTGCCAGGCCATGTGCACCTTGAGGCCACGTGAAGTGTCGAACGCCCGCTGGCAGGAGGTCACGGGGCAGACCCAGGTGCCACGGGTCGACTGACTGAGATTACCGAGATGACTGGCTGATGCACCACCTGTGCCTCCTACTGTCCTACTATGCCAACTTGCTGTGCTTTAACCACCCGGCGCTCCGCTCGTTGTGAGCGTCGCTCCTCCGCCCTTCGTTGTTGTTGGAGGGAGACTGCCTCCAACTGCCCAGTAGCGTCCTTCACGAGCCTCCTCCACAGAGGCCGATCTTGACATCGCTGGTACCAGTCATTGGCAAGTCCATTCAGCTCCACGTCCTCCTGTACCACATCACTCCATCTCTTCTCTACCCCATGCGGCGCTCGTTTAGCCCCCTCGATCCGGCCGAACAAAAGCTGTTTAGGCATGTGGTGGCTGGGCATGCGGGCTACATGACCCAGTCAACGCAGCCTTGCCTGCCAGAGGAGCTCACCGATGGGACTTTGCCCAGATCTTTCGTGGATTTGTGAGCTCACACAATCCAGCCTGGTTAAACCTTGCCTGCCGGAGGAGCTCACCGATGGGACTTTGCCCAGATTTTTCAAGGATTTGTGAGCTCCTCACACAATCCAGCCTGGTTAAACCCAGGATGGATCGTAGGCAGGCCAGCCTAAATGTTTCTAACCGGCAAAGATGCTCCATTAGGAGGGTCCACGTTTCGCAAGCGTAGAGAAGGGAGGGAATGACTGTGGCCGAGAAGACCTGAAGCTTCGTGCGAAGCGACAGACCAGGTAGCTTCCACACAGCCGTTACGCAACCGATGAAAAGATATTGCCGCTCGACTTATTCGGAGTGAGACCTCTGCTGTTAAACTGGAGCCGGTCATAAGCACACTGCCCAGGTATGGGAAACTCTCCACTCTCTCCACAACTACCCCATCACCGATTGGGAGTTGCGTGGGTGGAGTGTCCGATGGTACAAAATACCCAGGCAGGTGCTTAGTTTTGGTGGGGCTGATGGTAAGGCCCCACCTCTTAGTGGCACGCTCCAGTCTCAGCAGCAGCGTCTCAAACTCCTTCTCTGAATGAGCAGCTATTTCCAAATCATCGGCATACATAACGTGGTTGACCAATAGGGAGCCATCCCTTGATCACACCCGGGCATCGATCAGCCTCCCATTATATCTGTACCAAATGGAAATTCCCCTGGTACAGCTATTGAAGGCTTCACGAACTACGTGGTCAAAATAGATGTTAAATAATGTGGGAGCCAGAGGACATCCCTGTAGCACCCCAAGGTGTACAGGAAAGGCTCTGACTCCCGGCCACGTAGTTTTACCCGGGCCCGCTCACCATTATGAAGGTCTTTATTGATCGTGAGCAGAGGGTCAGGGACTCCGAAAGCACGAAGAACAACCCAGAGCCCAGGCCTACTGATGGTATCATAGGCCTTGACCAGGTCAATAAAGCAGAGATGTAGGTCTCTTTGGAATTCCCTACACCTCTGCTGTAGCAGACGGACAGAAAATATGGCATCTGTGCAGGACTGCCCTTTCCTGAAATTGCATTGGGGCTCCGCAAGCCTCTCCTCAGCGTGCCTAGCAAGGCGATGTTGTATAATCTTTGCCAGGACCTTTCCCGGCACACTGAGGAGTGAGATGCCCCTGTAGTTGTTACAGTCTGTGCGGTCCCCCTTCTTAAAGAGGGGGATCACAGCATCCTTCCAATCCTGCGGAACCCGTCCAGTGGTCCAGACTGTTGTTATGATGTCATATAGGGCAGTCTGTGCACAAACGCCACCCTCCCTCAGCATTTCGCTTGGGAGATCATCTCTGCCCGGTGCCTTTCCTGGTCTCAGACTCCGGATCGCCTTCAGTACTTCCTCAACAGATGGCACCTCAGCCAGCCACTCACAGGGGGTGACTTCTTCCAATATTTGAGGCACCGCAGCCTCAGCAGGGTCATCCCCACTTTGTCCCATGATGTTTTCCAGGCTGAGGGATTTCCCCACCCCCAGGACCTCACACAAATGCTCAGCAAATCTGCAAACCTGTTCCTGGGGGTCGGAGATTGGATCACCGTTTTTTCCCCGAATGATGGTAATCGGTGTGGCGCTGCAGGTCACGCACACGTACACACACACGCGCCGCACACACAAGTCGCCTGCCTGTCGTGACTCGCCAGCCGCGGCACCGAGAGGAGTCACGCCGGTGATAGGGTGGGGAGAGGTGGGGAGAGAGGGGGCTAGGTTAGGGGGGAGGGAGGTGGGGGGAGCTGGGGGAGGGGTAGGGTGGAGGTGGATGGGGGAGGCTGGAGAGGAGACGTACTGGTTTCTCTGCATCCGTGTGCTTGGAGCAACCCAACCTCATTTGCCACGCTGTGCCCTACACGTGTGCCTTCACGCTTCATTTATTGACATGTTTACCATCGTCTGACCATACTTCACCCCACGATGGTCAGTGCGAGTTGGTCAAGGCGGGGGAACCCAGGACAGCTTCGGGTATCACTTTGCCACTGACGTTAGCCGTGAGCAGGTTATCAAATTCAGGTCGTGCTGTTCGGAGCGCAGTGCGCTGGTTGCCACTGATTGTGTAAACAGAGGCCTCCTGTGTACTGAGCATACACACACAGAGATGCCCTCTGTAGCCCTTAATGGTGTGCTGTTAGCAAGCATCTATTAAGGGCGCCATGGTGGGGGAGGGGTGTGGCTCCCCTTTGTCTCTGCGGTGGCGATGTTTAACCACCGCCACCGAGTGGTTGTTTCCAGAGCTCCGGGGCTGCCTCAGAGATCACTCGCCACCGCTGGCAGCCGTGGCCGGACATCGGGCTCGTGCTTGTGTGTAAGAGCGTGATAAAAGCTGCGTGTTAACCCGTGTGTGTTCAACGCTGCGTGTTAGCCCACAGCGAAAAGCGTGGGTTAACAACTCGGCTTAAGGGCTTGAGTTTATCGGCCTGCACACAAGGGGGGGGGGGTGGTGTAATGGGATGGCATGACCCCCCCTTCCAGCCACTAGAGGCCGCAACATTAACCGCACTGTTGACAACCAAATGGAATCCAAGTATTGGACGTTAAGCTTCTTTCGCACCGTACGTAGGCAAACGCGCTCATCGGAAGTGCGGGGGGAAAGGACAACAAACTAAACGGTGTCGTTGAGTCGCGACAGTTCGTCGTCACTGGGGGGGGGGGGGGGGGGGTGAGCCGAGGCGTGGATCAAGCCGAGCGCCGATTAGTGGCGAAACTTCGGCGGCGCCCTCGAGTTTGATTCCCGGCCCACGGCCAACGTCGGTGGCGAGCTGCATCTGAAACGGCGGGGGCCCCTCGTCACCAACCCGGCCTGGGGAAGTACGGTCAAACAAACAACGCCCCACGACCAAACACTGCTGAGGCATTCATTCAGCGGTCTATTGACAAATGGTTGATTGTCATGAATTATTACTCTATATGATATTTATTCAATTACACACACACACGGGATTAAGCGTGTCCTTAAACTTGGAATCCACTTTGCCTGACAAGTGCCTCATTCATTTCTCAGACTGTTACCGATTTCAGAACCCATCCCATGGCCTCAGGGAGTGGGGGGGGGCGATTGGTGGCAGATAACCGCGATAATCGTTTGGCGATGGAGCAAATGAGCCGTGTGACTCTGTTGCTCTCCAGATTTTTGGCAGCCCCCCCACCCCGCCACCCCCTGGCCACGGTATCTCTGGTGGGCGTGTGTGCCCATTGTCACCAAGCTGCCAAGGGGAGAAATGAAAACTACTGAGTGTGGGAATCCGTCGCACGAGGCCGGATCGGGTCCCGAAATGACCCACGGGGCACGGGCAGGAGCACTCCGTGTGCCCCACGTGGCTACACGTCGTCACACCACCTTCCCCCCGTCGCCTTCCCTCAGTCGCCGTCCCACCACGTCGCCGCGTCCCACCCCGTCGCCGCCCCACCCCGTCGCCGCCCCACCCCGTCGCCGCGTGACGTGAGCGTTGTGAAGCACAGCGTGCGGCGCACGTCTCTAGAGCGGGAAGTGAGCACGCTAGAGCGACAGTGAGCTGGACGTCGCGCCGGCCAGGAGGATCGGAACGCTGAGCCGGTTCCGCAGAAATCCTGGGGTCCAAATCCGGGTTTCAGCGACCCTGTGCTGAACTGCAATAAACTATGGGGTTTTGTTTGTGGCTCACGTGATAGTCTCCGGCTGTGTGTACAGCGCTAAACCCCCGGACCGTCCACGTGACCTAACACGGCCGTTAGGAGTCCCTCCCGGCACCACGGTGATCTCTCACGGGGGGTTAACGCCTCGCAATGCTCCTGCTGACCCATGTGGGGCGTTTATATGAACTCGTCTGGTACGCAGGAGGTCATGGCTTCGATCCCGACCCTGACGCCTGCTGTATATTTGGAGTTTGCGTGTCTCTCTCCCCAGGGTCGCGTTGATGTTTCTCCGGGTCCTCCGGTTTTCCCCTCCATATTTAGAATCAACATATGTTTATAGTGTTTGGCTGCCACATGATAAGCCACTTCGTCCAGGTGGTGAGTCCCGGTTCTCAATTGAGCCGAGTCTCTAATGGCAGCACAAGGATTACACTCCCGTCTCATTCATACTGGATCACCAGTTATCACACCCTCCCTCTCCCCTTTACAGACAGACGCACAGACAGATGGACGGACGGACAATGGGAATCTTTTCACGCTTATAACATTCCTCCACGCATGTTGAGTACTCGGTCTACCAGACTGTTCACTCACCACACATCACTATCACACACTCATTCACCCACCCACTAACCGCACTACAGGTCACACAACACTATCACCCACCCACTAACCGCACTGCAGGTCACACAACACTATCACCCACCCACTCACCGCACTGCAGGTCACAACAACACACTCACCCACCCACTCACCGCACTGCAGGTCACAATAACACTCGCCCACCCACTCACCGCACTGCAGGTCAAACAAAACTCACCCACCCACTCACCGCACTGCAGGTCACAACAACACTCTCACTCACCGCACCGCACTGCAGGTCACAACAACACTCTCACTCACCCACTCACCGCACTGCAGGTCACAACAACACACTCACTCACCCACTCATCGCACTGCAGGTCACAACAACACACTCACTCACCCACTCATCGCACTGCAGGTCACAACAACACACTCACCCACTCACCGCACTGCAGGTCACAACAACACTCTAACTCACCGCATCGCATTGCAGGTCACACAACACTCACCCACCCACTCACCGCATGCCACCACACTGCTCTCCCTGCTTCCTCCCTCCCACTGCTCCGCTCTGGAACTCCCATCATCACCGTCCGCGCGACGTGCGAGTGACTCCTCCTCCGTCCCGCGTGCGCCACGCAGGGCTCCTGGAGAAGGAGGTGGTGAAGGCGAAGCTGGCAGGGGATGCGCGCGAAGGCAACCCGATGGCGCCTTCGCCGCGTGACGCGCTGCACATACAGGTACGGTGCATGCGGTGCAACTGCACACGCACGCGGTGCGATCACACGTGCGCGCGGTGCGATCACACACACGTTTCCGCCGGGACGGTCGTCGACGAGTCCAAGACGAACTCGTGACATCGTCAGAGACCGCGGTGCACCGAGGAACACCGGCAATGTTACGACGTATGAACACCCAGAGATCGACTGAGTTCACCGATTGGCTGAACTGATAATATTGGGCGGAGGGGGGCGTGGGATTGCACACCCCTCACACCAACATATCCTAGCCTAGAGTGTCTGACTGACTAGGTGTGTGACTGCTTGAGTGACCAGACGAAGAGAACGGCTCCGTCAAATCCACAGACTCGACGCAAACTGCCAGTCCCGTCACCGTAGTCGCCGTAGTCTGGACTGGAACTCTGGGTAAAGTAAACCTCGCGGAACCGCATTAGTGGCGCGAAGGACGGCATGAGCACCGCCACGCCCAATGCCCATCGCCGCTCCCCAACCCCCCCTCCTGTAACCCTGCGCAGACCCAGACGGAGCAGCTGGAGCGCGAGCTGCTGGAGGTGAGCCGCAACCGCGAGACGCTGCAGAAGAACCTGACGGAGCTGCTGGAGTACGCGGCGCTGCTGCGCGCCGTCCAGAGGCTCTGCCGGGACGACGGCGTGAGTTCCCCCCCCGCCGCGAGTTCCCCCCCCGCCGCGAGTTCCCCCCCCGCCGCGAGTTCCCCCCCCGCCGCGAGTTCCCTCCCCGCCGCGAGTTCCCCCCCCGCCGCGAGTTCCCCTCCCGCCGCGAGTTCCCCCCCCCCCCGCCGCGAGTTCCCCCCCCCCGCGAGTTCCCCCCCCGCCCCGACGAGTTCCCCCCCCGCCGCGAGTTCCCCCCCTGCCGCGAGTTCCCCCCCCCACCGCGAGTTCCCCCCCTGCCGCGAGTTCCCCCCCCGCCGCGCAGTTCCCCCCCCGCCGCGAGTCCCCCCCCCGCCGCGAGTTCCCCCCCCGCCGCGAGTTCCCCCCCCCGCCGCGAGTTCCCCCCCCGCCGCGAGTTCCTCCCCCCGCCGCGAGTTCCCCCCCCGCCGCGAGTTCCCCCCCGCCGCGAGTTCCCCCCCTGCCGCGAGTTCCCCCCCTGCCGCGAGTTCCCCCCCTGCCGCGAGTTCCCCCCCTGCCGCGAGTTCCCCCCCCGCCGCGAGTTCCCCCCCTGCCGCGAGTTCCCCCCCCGCCGCGAGTTCCCCCCCCGCCGCGAGTTCCCCCCCCCGCCGCGAGTTCCCCCGCTCCCCCGACGGCAGTGGCGGACGCGTTTTTAGGTCCGGCTTGGGTCGCTCTGAGCCCCAACCAGACTTTCTGGTTGGGACCACTTTAACCGTTTCCCGTTGTTGTTCAGGGTGTGGGGGGGGTCCCTGTTTGCCGCTGAATCTCAGAACGCGCACGCGGTCACGTTAATTTTATTCACAAAGGTGAAGTAGCGCCGTTGTTTTTAAAGACATTGCACTCCCTGCAGAGAACTGTAGTGAGACGACCATCGCACTCTACGATAGCTGGCGCTAAATTCTGTCACGCCCTCCCGCATGGCCTTGTGGGAGCGTCGGGACCAATAAAGTTACTTGAGTTTTTTCTTTCGTTCCCATTCCGTCATCGGAACAGATTTGAAAGAAAAACTAATGAATGTATACGTGCGTCGTCGGAACGGGAAAGGGTTAATAAACTCTCCCCTGTGCTGGCGGGCCAAGCGTCATGATGTCATAACGTCTGTACTCGTCCCCACTGATGTCTCGATTAAACAATGTAAAGTTAAAAACAAACTGTGAATGTTTCCTTGGGTCCAATTTGTAAATGGAACGGAGTTTGGATTTTGCGGAAAGTTCACCGCTGGAAACCTGCTGGAAACCTTCCGCAAACAGAAAATGTCACAACTCTTGTTCTCGTGTGCAAATTAATAAAAGTAATAATAGAAATAAAATAAAATAATAAATCACTCTACTCCCCTCCACACACTCTCCTACCTCTCCCCTCCCAACTCACTCTACTCCCCTCCACGCACTCTCCGCTCCGATATCGTGGATTGTAAAGCATTCCAACGAAGCTATGGATTTTAAATAATCGGATTTTGACTCTAAGGACAATTACGGACTTATTTTGCGGATGTTCAGATATTCTGCTTAATTATTGAAGCAGCAGCGTCGCCTGGCATCGCCACTTTTGGCGGGAAAACCGTGGACTTGACCTCACTTTTTTTTTCAGATCTAAAGCATTTTTTTTTCTGGATGATTCCAAATCTCAAATCTGAATCAAATGTGATATTTTCAGATTTTTTTCAGATGTCTAAAATCGAGAAATGGTAAAAACGCGCCCCTAACGCGCGCCTCTCCCGTCCGTAAGTGCGTGGTGGTCGTTTTCTGCGCAGGCTCCTCCTTCGCCCGTCCTCTTCAACGGTCGCGCCACAGACGCCGCGGGGAGTCAGCCCAACGAGATGAGGATGAGGTGAGGGCAACCGGTCCACGCCTCCCGGCTTGGGGAAACGTGCCGCCGCGCCACCGACGGTCCGGGCAACGCACGGCTGTTGACGGTGCCGAATAGCAGAACCGGTCCTTGGTCGACTTGGCCTCAAACGAGTACCTGGTGCGGTGTGTAGTAAACATCGCCACCGGGGAGACAGGGGGCCCGGCGTGGTGTTGGCCACCCAACCCCTCGTGTGCCGTGTCGGCCTTCATAGGTGCTACTCGCCGACAGCACTTGCTCCTACAGTTTGTTTAGGCTATACGGGGCATCTTTGTCTTTTGTATGTATGTCTGTCTGTGTGTGTGTCTTTGCGTGGCTAAAGCACAGCAAGTTGGTACAGTAGGGGGCACATGTGGTGCATCAGCCAGTCATCTCGGTCGTCTCAGTCAGTCGACCCGTGGCACCTGGGTCTGCCCCGTGACCTCCTGCCAGCGGGCGTTTGACACTTCACGTGGCCTCAAGGTGCACATGGCCTGGCACAAGCGTCGTGGTGACGTCACCACCACTTAGTGGCGAATGGCGGTTGTTGTGTCTTTGTCTGTTTATTTGTATGTCTGTATGTGTCTTTGTGTGTGTTTATGTGTATGTGTCTTTGTGTGTGTTTATGTGTACGTGTCTGTGTGTGTGTTTATGTGTGTGTGTGTGTGTTTATGTGTCTGTGTGTGTGTTTATGTGTCTGTGTGTGTGTGTTTATGTGTCTGTGTGTTTATGTGTACGTGTCTGTGTGTGTTTGTTTATGTGTACGTGTCTGTGTGTGTTTGTTTATGTGTACGTGTCTGTGTGTTTGTTTATGTGTACGTGTCTGTGTGTGTGTTTATGTGTACGTGTCTGTGTGTTTGTTTATGTGTACGTGTCTGTGTGTTTGTTTATGTGTAATAAAGGACTCGACCACGATGTCTGGCTTGGTGTCCTTTATTCGGTTCTTCTCTCTTAACCCGCACGGCTGTCCTTCTATAAGACTCTATACTGACACTGATACTGCTCTCCTGCAGTTTCTCCCCTCGTCGTTCTCTCAGCCTCTCTCTCCTCTCGTCGCTCTCGTAGCCTCTCCCTCACACACAGCCTCGCCGGCTGTGTTCCCCGCAGCTCCTCGTCCGCCTTCTCTCCAGCCGCCCCACCGCTGTCTTCTCTCGCAGCTCCGCTGGCTGCTCCCTTAGCTGGCCACCGCTGGCCGCCGCTGCCACCCCTTGGCTTTGCCCACGTGGCCTTACTCTGGTCCAGTCCCACTCGTTCTGCCTTCCTCTTCCGGTCTCCTCCCTTAAGAACCTTAACCTTTCCTCCCACGTCACCTAACTCCACCTCTCCGTGACGTCACATCCGGGAGGTCGCCCGCGCCCGCATTACACCACCCTCCCCCGTGGAGAAAAACCCAGCCGACCTCGGCTGAACAACACCAACAGTAATGCGGGCGAACCCGAGCGTAACACACCAAAGGACACCAAGCATGCAATATAACAGTAAGAACAATCAACACAACTCAACAATCAATAACGTAGCAGAAGCAGGCAATAAATACACAGTAAGAACAATACAACATAACAATCAACGAAACACAAGGGATTTAGAGCGTGTGCGGGTCGCCGGCCCGTCCCGGACGGTCGGCGGCCCATCCGCGGAACGGGAACGTGATTGAGTTTGAGGAGCGACAGGGTGAAATCCCCCTGTCGCTGTTGGAAGTCCACCAACGTCCCGTGTCCTTGAAGGATCAGTCTTGGGCTTGTCCCGCGGATGCATCTGCAGCGGGGTCGGAAGGGCTGCAGGGCTCGAAGGACCCGCAGATCTGGCAGGCACCCTCCGAGCAGAGCGCCTCGTCCCCTCCGGCGTCAAGGCCGGCCTGCCTGGAACAGGTACGACAGGCGCTCTAGCAAGATCAATGGACGCAGGCGGGGGAGAGTCGGCAGCAACAGACCCCGGCAAGGCAACATTGGGAGATGATGCATCATGTAGGGGAGCAACATACGGTTTCAAGCGCGACGTGTGAACAAACCAGCGGCGAGAACCAATTTGAACACGCGCCGACTGAGGATTAGGAACCTCAATGAGGCGGACAGGCCCTCGCCAAGGTTTGTGAAATTTGGGAGAGGTACCCGGCCGCACCTGCGGGCAATGGAGCCAGGCCAGGTCCCCAACCTTCCAGGGGCACTCCCCTTTGGAACGCCGTGCGTACCTTTCATTTCGGGCCTGAGCTTTGGCCGTAGCCACACGGGCACTCTCCCGCGCCTCCGAGACCCGGCGAACAGTGTCACGAATGTAGTCAGGAAGCGGTTTACAAGGTCCCCTCACACCGGTTCCCATCTGCACATCCATTGGCGGCACGTTTTCCCGACCATACATAAGGTAAAATGGCGAATAACCCGTAGCCGCATGAGGAGTCATCCTGTACGCCGAAAGCACCCCCGGGATGTGCAGGTCCCAATCCGATTGTTGCTCACTCACCGTGTGGCACAGCATGGCAGACAATGTCCGGTTTAGCCGCTCAACCATACCATCCGTTTGCGGATGGTATGGGGATGTCCGGACCTTCTTAGTCCCTAGGCCCGCGCATACTTCCGCCAATAATTTCGAAGAAAAATTTCGGCCCTGATCCGTAAGGAGTCTCTCCGGCGCACCCTTGTCCATAACATATCCGAACAAAAAGGCGTCGGTAATGGCCGCGGCCGATTGATCGGGCAACGGCCAGGCCATCGGCCAACGGGAGAGGTACTCAACCCCGACCAGCAAATATTTATTACCCCTCGCCGAAGGTGGGAAAGGTCCCAAAATGTCCAGTGCCACCAATTCATTGACCCGAGACACCCGAATTGACTGTAAGGGTGGCACATAAGGATGTTTAGGAGGCTTACGCCGGGCACAGTCAGGGCACGCGCGGACGTGCCCCACGACATCCGTCGACATGCCGTGCCAAAAATAATGACGTTGCAACGTCAACAAGGTCTTCTGCACACCCAGATGTAATAGCGTGTCACAATGGAGAGTTCTAATCAACTCGTATCGGAGGGACGCAGGCACCACTAGACGCCAGTGTTCCTGGAGACTTTCCCTCCACATAAGCAGACCATCTCGGACCGCGGTTTCCGGCGCACCCTCCGTAACCGGACCCCCAACCTCCACTTTGGATCGCTTCCGCAAGGACACTAACGACTCATCCATCATTTGCTCCCTTATCCAAACAGACCGTGGCAGATTCAAAACCCCATCAGTCGGCCCCGGTTCCACAGTAGCATCCGACTTCTCCACAGCCAATACCACCGGCTGAGGGGGGGGTAGGCTGGGCGCACATCTCTGCGTCCCCGACGCACATTTGCAAGGGGAGCGCTGCGGCAACCTAGAAAGTGCGTCTGCGTTCGCATGGCGCACCCCTTTACGATGGTGAATTTGAAATGAAAATTCTTGCAGCGTGTCCAACCAACGCGACAGCTGGCCGGAAGGTTGATCCATTTTAAGGGCATATTGCAAGGCCGCATGATCCGTACGTACGATAAAGGAACGGCCGTACAGGTACGGTCGAAACTGACGTAGGAAAAAAACGACGGCTAAGAGTTCCCTGCGAGTGACACAGTAGCGTGTTTCCGCGGGCGACAGGACCCGGCTACCATACGCAACGACGCGCTCTACGCCCCCTTTAGACTGAGACAACACCGCGCCAATACCTGTGTCGCTCGCATCCGTATCAAGAATGAACGGTTGATTGAAATCCGGATAATCCAATGTTGGGGCGGTAGCCAACAGATTACGCAGACTCTGAAAGGCCGCCTCTTCCGGCGGTCCCCACGCAAACTTACGTCCCTTACCCGTAAGGAGGTGCAAGGGCCTCGCGATGGTCGCAAAATTCGGTACAAATCTTCGATAATACGAGGCAAATCCCAGAAAGCGACGTACATCCCCCACGGTGACCGGAGTCGGCCAATCTCGGACGCACGCCGTTTTTTCCGGGTCCGTAGACACCCCCTCAGCACTCACGATGTGCCCCAAATAACGGACGGACCGTTGCAGTAGGTGACATTTCTTTGGTTTAAATTTCAAGTTCGCGGAGCGCATCCTCGCGAACACCGTCTCCAGCCGCCTTAAATGTTCATCAAATGTGCGGCTGAAGACGATGATATCGTCCAAATATATGAGACATGTCTCCCACTGCAACCCCGTCAAAACGAGTTCCATGAGCCTTTGAAATGTGGCAGGGGCCGCATTCAGCCCCATCGGAAGGCAGTTAAATTGAAACAACCCCTGCGGCGTACGGAATGCGGTCTTCTCCCGTGAGGGCTCGTCAAGGGGAAGCTGCCAAAATCCCGAAGAGAGGTCCAGTGTAGAGAAATACTTAGCCCCCGACAATGCGTCGAGGGAGTCGTCCATACGCGGCAGGGGATACGCATCTGCCACCGATATCTTATTCAATTTTCGAAAGTCAACACAGAATCGCAATTTGCCATCCTTTTTCTTAACCAAAACCACAGGCGCGCCCCATGGGCTGTTCGACGGCGATATAATATCCGCAGCCAACATATCCTCCACTGCCCCCCGAACGTGTTCTCGCTCGGCCGGACTCATTCGGTGCGAATTCAACCGAATAGGGGCAGCGTCGCCTGTAGCAATGTGATGGTGAAGCAATGAGGTGCGTCCCAAATCCAAATCATTGGAGCTGAACACATCGGAATACGTCAATAACAATTTATGAAGCGCACCCCGTTGATCCACAGACAGGGAAGAATTTCCGTCACATAAGCTAGCAATCCAGCGGTCATCCGAAGCCACAGGCTCGGAAACACCAGCAACCACTCCCTGGCTATGCGAACAATCGTGAGCCGTAAATGCCGTGGTGGCATGTGCCACAACCGTGCCGGCTGGGACACAGACATTTTCCGTACCCGCATTGAGCACCTGCAAAAACGGTAATTGATCTGGCCGGACGATGGTCTGCGCTCCGACCAGCGCCGATCCGGCCGTTATCGAGGCTGAAGGTGACAACAAGATCCCAACCGCTCCCAGCCGACCAGGCAGGGGCTTCCGATACCGCAGGGGAATAAGCATCTGTGAACCAGGTGGAATATCAACAGATGCCACGGATAGCGCCTGCCCTTGTACGGCCGAAGCAGGTCGCCCCCAGGGCGACGGCAGAAACGAAATTTGACGGCCACCCGGCAGTTCAATACAATTCTCATTAATTTTGATCAAAATAGGCATCTTAGCCAGAAAATCAGTGCCCAATAAACAGGGAACTGCCAAGGATCTTGAAATCAACACAACGCCCGAGGCCGACACATCCCCAATAGATATTTTAGCGTCCACCTGGCCCACGATGCCCATACTACCCCCGTTCGCAGCGACGCACGACCCGTAAACCGGACGCACGGCCCCGGGTGGGATGCCTAACAGATGAAAAATGACATCCGAAATAATAGTCGCGGACGCCCCGGAATCGACCAAAATGCGCACGTCCACCCCTTGTATAGACCCCGGCACGGTGGACGAACCCGTAGCGGCCGCAACAACCCTCCGTGCCAATTTGCGCCACTGCGTCACAGAGCGACAAGGCCCCGTCGAAGGTCCCTCTTTAACAACAACACTATGACCGCACAACGAAGGTGATGGGTGAGGTGTAAAGCCTTGCCGGGTGTCTGGTGCGTGCCGACTTGCCTGTTTCGGTGGATCCTTGGGCGGCTTGGCCGGTAATGAGGCCTCCTGTTGTGGCGGACCCGGGATGCGGGCCCAGCAGTCCTTCGCGTAGTGGCCCTTCCGTCCGCAGCGGAAGCAATCGGCGTCGTTGCGCCGAAGCGCAGGCCTTGCATCGCGCCGCCCGCGTATCGGCGGTGCAGCACGAGAGGCCGGTCCACCCCGGCCTGACCATGGCACCGAGGCGGCCGTCAGCTCCTGAGGGCCCCGCTCATCCGGCACGTATACCGACTTCGTAGGGTCCCAACCCAGAGCGCCACCCTCCGCGTCGGGCCCCCCTGTCCACGCCGTGACCTGTTTCCATCGTCGTAGGTTGAATTGTGCATCCAGACATTTCGCCGCCGCCCGGGAGGTGAGCTTCTCATGCCCGCACACCGGCATGGGAATCCCAAGATCCCGCGACAGCTCGAGCATCTTGCCCAAGATGAGAGGCTCGAGCAGGTCAGGTGTTGTATCTGGATACGCGGCCATAGCCAAATCAAGCACTGCACCCCTGTACGCCACAGGCGACTCCTCGGGCGCTCGTTGTCGTTGAGCGAATCGCCGATGCGCGTCGTCAGGTGGCTCGTAGGCGTCGGCCATTTCTTGAAAAACTCCATATAATGTCCTCTTCTTCTCGGCCTTAATGGAGCGAAAAAAACGAACAGATTCGTCGTCCAGAAGAGTCGGCAACACTTCCAAGGCCTCAGCATCGGTCCATCTCGCAGAACGGACCGCCGCTAAAAATCTGCAGGCGAAAGCGCTCCAGTCGCCCCCAATGGCGAATTCCTTGACCGTGGTGAGATGGCGACTCCGACTTCGCTTCACTCCGCCCTCCGCCGATGGTTCCTCCGGAGGCAAATTCAAAATGGCGTCGAATCGCGGCGTGGTCAAGATGGCGGATTCCCGCCGCGGCACGCGCAAGATGGCGGCCTCCTGCCGCGTGGCCCATGGCGCCGGGAGTGAAGAACCCGTGGCGGCCTGTGGAGCACTCTCCGCTCTCTCCGTCGCCGTGCTTGGGGTGACGAGATGACACAATTGGCCCAGGGCGTCCTTGAGAGTCTCCAGTTGCTCAGCCACCTGCAGCCATCGCCGATCAGCGTCTGATGGTGTCGGCGGCCCTGACACTGTGGCTACATCTTCCACTCCCGTCCCCGCACTCGTTTCAGCAGGGCTCTCCTCCACCACCCTGGCAGGATCCATGTTTGGAGGGAAGTCTTCGTCTTCCGACGAAGAAGCCGATGCCGGCGCTGGAACATTTTTCTTTCTCACTTGTTTCGACATGCCGTTGCACTTCCGACACCAATGTAATAAAGGACTCGACCACGATGTCTGGCTTGGTGTCCTTTATTCGGTTCTTCTCTCTTAACCCGCACGGCTGTCCTTCTATAAGACTCTATACTGACACTGATACTGCTCTCCTGCAGTTTCTCCCCTCGTCGTTCTCTCAGCCTCTCTCTCCTCTCGTCGCTCTCGTAGCCTCTCCCTCACACACAGCCTCGCCGGCTGTGTTCCCCGCAGCTCCTCGTCCGCCTTCTCTCCAGCCGCCCCACCGCTGTCTTCTCTCGCAGCTCCGCTGGCTGCTCCCTTAGCTGGCCACCGCTGGCCGCCGCTGCCACCCCTTGGCTTTGCCCACGTGGCCTTACTCTGGTCCAGTCCCACTCGTTCTGCCTTCCTCTTCCGGTCTCCTCCCTTAAGAACCTTAACCTTTCCTCCCACGTCACCTAACTCCACCTCTCCGTGACGTCACATCCGGGAGGTCGCCCGCGCCCGCATTACATATGTGTACGTGTCTGTGTGTGTGTTTATGTGTACGTGTCTGTGTGTTTGTTTATGTGTACGTGTCTGTGTGTGTGTTTATGTGTACGTGTCTGTGTGTTTGTTTATGTGTACGTGTCTGTGTGTTTGTTTATGTGTACGTGTCTGTGTGTGTGTTTATGTGTACGTGTCTGTGTGTTTGTTTATGTGTACGTGTCTGTGTGTGTTTGTTTATGTGTACGTGTCTGTGTGTGTGTTTATGTGTACGTGTCTGTATGTTTATGTGTACATGTCTGTGTCTGTGTGTGTGTGTGCTGCAGCACGGTGTTTGGCACCATCGACCCGCAGAAGGTGCCCGCGTTTGAGCTCATGCTGTTCCGCGTGTGCCGAGGCTTCACCTTCATGCGCTCCATGGAGCTCCCGGAGCCGCTCGCCGTGCCCTTCCTCGTGCGTCTCCTTCCCCTGCCCACACTCGCACCACCCCTCCCGCTCCCCTCCTCCTCACTCCCTCAAGTGGACATGAATAGCGTAGCGCAATGTCTACGTTGTGAATCCAGCCGCTGCTGCGGACTTCAGAGCACAGTGATCGTGAATTCCATAGACACGCAGAGACCCATGGATTCACACAGAGACTCATAGACTCACGCAGAGACTCGTAGACTCACACATAGACCCATAGACTCACACAGAGGAGACCCATAGACTCACACAGAAGAGACCCAGTGAGCATGAGTTCACGATGTGTTCCGCTAATTGTTGCTGTGCAACTTAGTCGCATTTGGGAGATTATTTTATTTTACATTTGTGAAGAAGTTGATTGCACCTTTGACTCCACCTGTCACTGCACCTACGATGTGTGGTAGCCGACTCCTTGCGAGGGCTTCCCACTCCTACTGATCCTCGTGGTGGTGGTGATGGTGATTGCGGTGGAGGTGGTGTAGTGATGATTATCACAGTGCTGGTTAATGGTCATGGTGGTGGTTACTGATGGTATCGGTGGTTGCGGTGGTGATGGTCACAGTGCTGGTATTGGCTATGGTGGTATCAGTGACGTCATCGGTGAATGTGGCGGTACTGGTCAATGCGGTGGTGGCGGTGGCGATGACGATTGTGGCTTTGTGTGGCCGGTTGCCGTCACGGCCCGCAGGACGAGCCGGTGCGTCTCTCCGTCTTCTCCATCTCCTTCTGGGGGGAGCGCATCGGTGACAAGGTGCGCAAGATCAGCAGCTGGTGAGTGGCCGCCCTTGGCGCCGCGCCCCCCACATCTCCATGCGAGTTCACCACCCGGCCTCCGCCCTCCACGATCGCCACGACGACGATTGTGACGACCTTGACGACGACGCTCTGCGTGACCTCCACGCTCTCTCTGCCCCCTCCCCCCCCCCCCGCTGCAGCTTTCACTGCCGCCTGCTCCACTGCCCCGACTCCCAGCGGGAGCAGCAGGAGCTGCTGGGCAGCCTGGACATCCGCATCGCTGACCTGCAGAGCGTGAGCTACTCACCGCCGCCTACCCCCGTCGCCTACCTCCGCCTAACCCACACACTGCCACTTACCCACACTCCACCCCCTACCCACACACCACCACCTACCCACACCACCACCCACCCACACACCGTCACCTACCCACACACCACCAGCAAACCTCACACCGTCACCTAACCACACACCACCACCTACCTCACACCGTCACCTAACCACACACCACCACCTACCACACACCGCCACCTATCCACACACCACCACCTACCTCACACCCCTGACTTGGCGTGTTTTTTCCGTCTGTTGGCATTACCCCGATCCCCCCCTCTCCCACCGCCGCCGCCGCCCTGTGTAGGTCCTTTCCCAGACGGAGGCCTACAGGAAGCAGGTGCTGCAGAAGGCGGCCAGCGTCTGCTCGGTGTGGCTCGTGCAGGTGAGCGCGCCGCCCCCCCGGCTGTCTCCGCCCTCGACGATTCGACATCAATCCCTGCCGCCTTCCCCCAATCTCTCATTACGAGCGGCACGGACGCGTGGGCCCCTTTAGCTGCGTCGTCGTCGTCTTGTCTAGGGGACCCTTGTTGCCGGTATAAAGATGAATAAAAAAATGTTTAAATGCTTTACCAGGTGTGTTCAAACACCAAATAGAGGCGTTATTACAAGGCGTCCAGTCTGCGTTAACCGCACAGACAAATATGCTTTGATAATGAACTCCAATGCGGAAGCAACACTGCTTAACCCGAGCTGTTAATGCGTTGGCGTTTGCATTGCCCTTGTGCTGTCTGCCTTTTTGCGTCCTTTGCTCGACAGCACCGTGGAGGCAAAGCCATGAATGAAGGAGGCTGTCTGTGGTGCAGGCCAATCAGTCCCAAGGACAATTTGCTGTTGTTGTCTACTTCAACCAATGTTTTTCCTCGGTTTTTTATTGCCACTTAGATAAAGTAGTCAACAAGCACACGGCGCCTGTGGCTGCTACGGTCATGAGCCGCACTACTGCCCCCCACGCCCCCATCCCTCTTCCCCGCATTCCCCAGCTCAGCGGAGGTGGGGGGGGTGCGCCAAACACCCGAAGTGAAACTCGCGATCGATCGGCACCGCCGCGAGAGACAGCTCGGGGAACGCAGCGCTCGCACCGCCGTCGCCACCGCTTGTAATTGCCACTCCCCGCCCTACCCCCACAAGGTGCGCAAGGCCAAGGCTGTCTACCACGTGCTCAACCAGTGCCACTACGATGCACGCAACTACCTGGTGGGTGAGGCGTGGTGCCCGACCGAGGACAAGCCGAGGGTGGAGGAGGCGCTGCTGCAAGCCTCCGTACGTCGTCGCACACGCGCATGTGTGTGTACGTGTGTGTGCGCACGTGTGTGTGCGCACGTGTGTGTACGTGTGTGTGTACGTGTGTGTACGTGTGTGTGTACGTGTGTGTACGTGTGTGTGTGCGTGCGTGTGTGTGCGCGTGTGTGTACGTGTGTGTGCGTGTGTGCGCGCGTGTGTGCGCGCGTGTGTGCGCGCGTGTGTGCGCGCGTGTGCGCGCGCGTGTGCGCGCGCGTGTACGTGTGTGTGTACGTGTGTGTGTACGTGTGTGTGTACGTGTGTGTGTGCGTGTGTGTGCGTGTTTGTGCGTGTGTGTGTGTGTGTACGTGTGTGTGTACGTGTGTGTGTACGTGTGTGTGTGCGTGTGTGTGCGCGTGTGTGTGCGCGTGTGTGTGCGCGCGTGTGTACGCGCGTGTGTACGTGTGTGCGCGCACGTGTGCGCACGTGTGTGTATGTGTGTGTGTACGTGTGTGTACGTGTGTGTGTGCGCGTGTGCGTACGCGTGTGTGTATGCGTGTGTGTACGTGTGTGTGCGCACGTGTGTGTGCGCACGTGTGTGTGCGCACGTGTGTGTGCGCACGTGTGTGTACGTGTGTGTACGTGTGTGTACGTGTGTGTACGTGCGGAGCGGTAGCGTAACGGTTAGCGCCCTGCGCTACGATCCTGGCAACGCGAGTTTAATACCTGCCCACGGCCAACACCAGTGACGATTATCTGAACCGGTCATGGGCCTCCCCTAGGTCGACTTTGCCTGAAATGAGTACCTGGTGCAGTGTATAAAAACATTGCCACTAGGGAAAGGCGGTTGGGCGTGGTGTTGGCCACCCACCCCCTCATATGCCGTGCCAGCCTTAAGAGGTGCTCGCTAACAGCACTTGCCTCAAAAGTCAGTTAGGGCTAAACGGAGGGATCTTTGTATGCACACGAAGTGGCCGTGTGTGTGTGTACACCCGCACACACGGCCACTCGCGACTCGCATATGCGTACATACACGTGTGTCCATGTGTGCGCATACACATGGGCACCCGTACAAGACAAAAATTTCCTGTATAGCCTTTAACAGACTGTTGGGGCAAGTGCTGTTGGCGAGTAGCTCCTACGCTTCGCGTCGCCTAAGCGAGCGACGCGTCTCCCGACAGGACGTCCACTCAGAGAAGGCCACCGTGACGGTGATCCCCACGCAGCAGGAGCCGCCCACTCTCAACCGCACCAACCGCTTCACCAGCAGCTTCCAGGGCATCGTGGACGCGTACGGCGTGGGCAGCTACCGCGAGGTCAACCCCGGTGGGTCGCGTGGCCGCTCGCGACCGCGACGACGCGTCTGTGCGTGCGTGAACGTTTGTGCGCCCGCAAGTATTTGTAAGGGGGCCGTGGTGGTGTGTGAGAGCTTGACGGCCAACGTGATCATCGTCGTCGCCATCGTCTTCATCATCACCACTGCTACCAGCACCATTGTCACCACCACCAGCGTCTTCACTGCTATCATCACGGTCACTGCACCCACCAGGATCACCCAACTGCCATCATCATCACCACCACCACTACTACTAAAACTTAAAGAAACTATTTTTTTTATTTTACCAGGTAAGACCAATTGAGCGATATGTCTTTTTTCTGAAGCGACCTGGCCAAAAATGATAGCTCAACTAAGTGGCTTATCAATTGGAGATGTATTGCAACAAAATACTCTATACGCAAGATGTTGATTCTAAATGTGGAGGGAAAGACCGGAGGACACGGAGAAAAATCTTCACGACCACGAGGAGAGAGAGAGACACTGCAGACTCCACATAAAGAGGCACTGTCAGGGTCGGGATCGGAACCACGACCTCCTGTATACCAGGCGAGGGAGTTAACATATCACGACCGTCTTCAGCCGAGACCCCTTCTCTGACTCTCTTATCCCTCGTTCCCTCTCTCTCTCTCCGCCCTGCCCCTCTCCCCCGCAGCGCCGTACACGATCATCACCTTCCCCTTTCTCTTCGCCGTGATGTTCGGCGACCTGGGCCATGGCGCCATTATGCTGCTGTTCGCCCTCTGGATGGTGCTGAAGGAGAATAACAAGGCGTTCAAGAGCAGCAACAACGAGGTGGGCGCCGGGAGACGCAGATCATCGTCCCGAGAGGGCTGGCCGGGCACGGGGAGAGCCTGGGGGGCGACTGTGGGCCAAGCTTGGGTAGCTACGGCCCAGCGGGTCGGACAGGGCCCGTGACTTGATATCGTACAGCCCGCATTCAAAGAACAATCGGGATAATAACGTTTCGCTTCTTACCCAAAATATTCAAATTAAACGGAGTGACTGTCGGGAGTCGAGGATGGTGGTGGCTGTGGCTGGAGGGGTCCTTGGTGCGTGCCCCACGTGAGCCCCCTGTGCTTGCCCGTGTGGATGGTCCCTGCGTACCCGTGTCCGCTGGGAGTAGATCTGGCAGCAGCTCTTTGGAGGGCGCTACATCATGCTGCTCATGGGGCTCTTCTCTATCTACACGGGCTTCATCTACAACGACTGCTTCTCCAAGCCGCTCACCATCTTCCCCTCGGCCTGGAACGTCACCGCCATGATCAAAGGGTCTTGGAAGTACGCAAACGTCCAGACATGCACGCACACTCGGATATATACACGCACGCACAGACACACTCGGACACATGTACGCACGCACTCACAGGCACGCGTGTGCACAGACGCACGCACAGACACGCACGCACACACATTGACGTGTGCGCACACACATTCGGACACACACTCGGATACACACTCGCACATTTGAGACACACACTCAAGGCACAAATGCGTGTATGCAATGACAACAACAACAACATTTGCCACCAAGTGGCGGTGACATCACCACAGTGACACACAAAATGATAAAGGCAAAGATCCCCCGCGTAGCCTTAACAGACTGTTGGGGGCAAGTGCTGTTTGCGAGCACCCATCAAGGCCGACGTGGCACATGATGGGGTGGGTGGCCAGCGCCACGCCTGGCCACCTTTATCTCTCCAGGTACTAATTTGAGGCTGAGTTGACCTAGAGGAAGCCCGGAACCAGTTTATACAATCGTCACCGGTGTTGACCGTGAGTGGGAATTGAACTCGGGCAGCCGGGTTAGTAGCGCAGCGCACTAACCGCCACGCTACCGCTCCTCACAAACTGTGACGCGCACAGCGACATGCAGCGAGCAGACAGGGGCTGACGCTTGCCTCTTGCGCCCCGCTTGCTTCCCCAGCGTGACACACACCAACATCAGCAACATCCAGCTGCTCGCCCTGGACCCCAATATCAGCGGCGTCTTCACAACCCCCTACCCCTTCGGCATCGACCCGGTAAATACTCGGCTTGACGGGCAACGCCGCGGCAAAACCCGGCGGTGCTCGCGGCGGTTCAGACGCGACGATGACAGCGGCGAGAATCGCGATTCGAGAGGGGAGACTGAGGGGGGGAGACTGGGGGGGGGGGAGACTGAGGGGGGGGAGACTGAGGGGGGGGGAGACTGAGGGGGGGGAGACTGAGGGGGGGGGAGACTGGGGGGGGGAGACGGGGGGGGGAGACTGGGGGGGGGAGACTGAGGGGGGGGGAGACTGGGGGGGGGGGAGACTGGGGGGGGGGGAGACTGGGGGGGGGGGAGACTGGGTGGGGGGAGACTGGGGGGGGGAGACTGGGGGGGGGGGACGGAGGGGGGGGGACGGAGGGGGGGGGGACGGAGGGGGGGGACGGAGGGGGGGGACGGAGGGGGTACAAGGGATTGTTTCGCCTCCTTGCTCCACCGTGTAGAATGGGGCACGCTGCCCCCATGGCGTAACGGTCAGCAGAGGTGATGGTGGGAGTTTCTTAAACCCCCCCCCCCCATTCCTAACACCGTACGCTAAGCGAGCGTTTGCCATAGCCGTCGGCTCTCTCGACGGGGGATCAGCAGAGGCATTTAGAGAAATTGTGCTGGGGCCGGGGTCTGAGCAGTAGAGGGAGGAGGGGGTGGGGGGCCGGGGTCTGAGCAGTAGAGGGAGGAGGGGGTGGGGAGCCGGGGTCTGAGCAGTAGAGGGAGGAGGGGGTGGGGGGCCGGGCTTGCGACGACGGAGAAAGAAGAAGGTGAAACGCCGCCGCTTACCGGCGCTCACCAAGCGGCGCGTTAGCGAAGCGGTGAGCGACGTTCACCATGAGGTGGGACTCTCAGCCCCTTCGCACGGCGGCAGCAGAGGGGCAGCCGTGTCGCCGTAGTCACGCGCCGCTCTCCCGGCGGCGACCAAAACACCGCCACCGTCGTCGTCGCCGCATCACGCCGGCCCCTCATCCATTTCGGGTTTTTCTTTTTACAAATCATTCATCATCAATCTCCTCAGCCGGGCTCGATCCACTGCTGTTTTGAGCGAGACGTGAAGCCGTATCGAATTGGAATAAGCGCTTGGGTGAGCGGTGCTCTGCCCCTTGGCCTGTGTAGTGTTTTTTTTAATGTATATTCGACTCCATCGGTTTTGTTTTCTTACAAACCATTATCCCGATTGGGGTGAAGAGCGTCGTGTCGTCACGAGACGGCGAATCCATTCGCAAGTCTCGCAGGGAGCAGCGTGCACGCCTTCATGTAGTTGAGGGCCGCGGAAGCAGATACCACAGAGCCAGCTCTGAGATCCCCTTCTGAAGTGCTCTGTTCCACACAGTAGGGGGGGGGGGGGCAGCACTTCCCCACTCATTCTACCGTTCTTTGAGAGCATCGTTCGTCATGTTGAAAGTCTAAATCAACAGGAGGCTTTCTCCAGAATTCTGGCTGCCGCCTGATGATGCTGGTTGTATTTACTGGCGAAACGTCGTACTCGGTGTGCAGTACTAGTGTAGAGGTGATACGCGCTGGGATTAAGGATCGTATGCACAGTGCGTGATGATTGGCTGTGTAGGTGGTGACGCGCGCTGACGGTGGAGGATCAGGGGTCAGCGCGGGGTCGTGGGTTACGGGGTACCGATTGGCTGTGGGCGGTGACGCGCTGAGAGAGAGTGCGTCGTGATTGGGTCATTAAGGAACGACGCTCACGTCGACGCCGCATCAGCTCCGTCCCTCGTGAGCAGGGGCTATAAAAGGGGATGCACACAGGCGTAAGGGCAGAGTGTAACCAGCGAAGAAGGAAGACGGGGATGAAGACCTAGAGCCCTGCGGTACCTAGCCCCGCTGTCCTAAGGGGACCGGGACTCTGTGTAACCCAGAGGCGAGTGTAGTGGGTGTAGCCATAGGTCTACACGAGCCGAATGTACTATGTGTAGCCAGAGGCATAGGGCTTACACGAGTCGAGTGTATTGTGTAGCCAGAGGCATAGGGCTTACACGAGTCGAGTATATTGTGTGTAGCCAGAGGCATAGGGTCTACACGAGTCAAGTGTATCGGGTGTAGCCAGAGGCCTAGAGCTTACACGAGATTAGTGGAGTGTGTCGGAGGAAGAAGAGAGACCACACGTTGTATTGTGATACCTAAAGGATTTAATAAAAGTGTGTTACCCGTCAAGAAGTTCCTGCCGTCAATTCCCATACTTCAACTGGCGTCAGAAGTGAAACGGTCCTCCAAGCATGGATACAAGGAGGAACCGTCGGACCCACGGGATTGACCACGAGGACAACCTCGACGACGCGGGCCAGCGGGCATCAGGGGGTGAGGAAGAGGAGCTGCCCACGGGGCAGGATCCACCGACGGCGCCGGTCGAGCGACGGGGGACTGACACCGTGCTTCGCGAGGCACACTCCCGTCTGGCGGAGCTGCTGCTCGCCGCCGCGTCCATCTTGGCGGAGATCAGCTCGTCGGGAGGAGCGGGGACGGCGGCCGACGTGCTACAGGATCGCCCTGCAGATTCCCGCCAAAACGATTTGGCGATTCCCGCCATTTCATCCGCTCCAACTTTTGGCGGGAACGGCCATCACCACGTGGCAGCGGTTCTCCATGCACGGCCGCTGACGTCACCAACGCGCGCGGCGGACCGCCATCACACACCCGCCACTGGGGCCGCCATCTTACACACCGACGGGGGGGCAGAGAGGAAGCACGAGGAGGAGGACGACTTTATCTTTCAGCAGCGCCTTCCCACGTTGTCAGCATTCAAGGCGGAAGGCGGGGATTGGAGCCAATTTCAGCGCAGATTTTTGGCGCATCAAGAGATGTCCGCCTGGTCCGACGCTACGGCACTGCGGGCACTGCCTGCCATGCTGGACGACAACGCGCTCGCGGCCTTCACGTCCGCACGCAGGTCGGACCGCTCCACGCTCAAGGATGCGCTGGCTCTCATGGCCAAAGTCTACGGTCCTCCCTCGGCGTGCCGCCATCATTTCTACGCAAGACGGAAGGCGGACACGGAGACCGTGCTCGCCTACCGCACGGCGTTGCTCGCTCTCGCTGACGCCGCGTTCCCTCGTATGGACGAGGAGGGCCAAGATGCGATGGTTTTGGAGCAGCTGCTCAAGTTGGCGCAGGACCTGGGGGTCCCCATCAACACGGCCGACGACACCGATATTTCTTCATTACGGGTCGCCACGAGCATGCAAGCGCACGAGGTCCTTCAACGAAAGCAGGGGGTCGTCTGCAACGCTGCCGTGGCCTCAACTCCGGGTCCGGTTGACACCGTGCCCCAAGTCGTCAGCCCACGAGAGGACGCGTTCATCGCGGGACGAGCGGGGGACTGGAGGTCGGGGGGTCGTTCGCCTCTGCGAGCGGCCCGCAAGCTGGAGCAACCGAGATCTCCGACTACTGTCATCACCTGCTATAACTGCGGCCTTCGTGGCCACGTGGCCTCCGGTTGCCGCGCCCCACGTCAGCGCGCCATGGGACCTCGGCTGGACGACGACCAAGGCCCCAAGTCATCACTGCAAACCCCGGCAAGTCGCGGCACCTCACATGCTTGGCCCGCATACTCGACACGTATGGGTCGTCGCGTTGCGACGAGGGAGAGCCGAGTAGAGTTCGGGGATTCGGTTCGGAGAGGGGGGTTCGGCCGGGACCGGGGAGACATTAAATGGTCGGAATTGGGGCACAGAATAGTGGCTGCCTCAGCGGGTTCATCCGTCGTTACCGGATCGATTGATGGGGTCGAGGTCAGGGTGTTAGTGGACACGGGGGCATCGGCGACTATTATTTCGGATCTCATTTATAATATTCTCCCGGTACAATGTCGTCCGCTTCTTCCGGTGGATGTGCCATTTTACGCCGCAAACGGGGAATCGTTGGGCATTATCGGTCAGATTAGGGCGTCCATTTGCATTGGTGATATCAAATTGTCGGGACCCGTTTTCGTTTCATCTTCCCTGGCGGTTCCTTGCCTATTGGGCACTGATTTTTTGGCGAAAATGCCCATCAAAATTCTCATTGATCAGCGTTGCATTGAACTACCATCGGGTCGCCGTATTTCATTTTTGACGAGCCCTAATGTAATTCGGACGGCGTGCGCTACCATTCAGGCGTTAGCAACACAGACCGTGCACGTGCCCCCGGGTTCACAAATGTTGATTCCCCTCCGGTTACGGAAGCCATGGGGGAAGGAGGCCTCGGAACAGGCCATGCTTCTGGGTCCTTCTAATAGGGCTGTTGGAGGTCTCGATTTATCGGTGGCTCACACTTTGGTTGGGGCAGACAGGGATCCGTTTGTCATGGTTTTAAACGCTGGGGCGCGGCCGGCCGTCATTTAGCAGGGCACCGTGCTGGCTCACGCGGCACGGGTCCCTGCGGAGGAGAGGCTGGTTGCGCAGGCTGATCCGAGCCCCACGAATAGCGTACCATCAAAGGAGGACCTAGATTGGATTGATATGCTGTGCGCGGACTCTGACGATTTGTCAGCGCTACAGTTGGGTGCGTTGCGCGGGTTGCTGATTGAATTTTCGGATGTCTTCAGTAAACATAAGTATGATATCGGATGCACGGACCTGCTACGCCACCACATTGAAACGGGCGATGCGGCACCGGTCAGGCAAAATCCCTTCCGACTGAGTCCTGCTGAGAAGGAACATGTTCAGTCGGCAGTTAACGATATGCTGGAAGCCGACATTATTTCGCCTTCTTCCAGTCCTTGGGGAGCACCTATTGTGCTCGTTAAAAAGCAGGACGGGTCCCTGCGATTTTGCGTCGATTTCCGCCGCCTGAATAAGATCTCGGTGGCCGACGCGTATCCGCTCCCCAGGATGGACGAGTCTCTCGATGCATTGTCCGGTGCGCGATACTTTTCGACTCTTGATTTATTGTCCGGATTTTGGCAGTTGCCACTCGACGAGGAGTCTAAGCCTAAGACTGCATTCCGGACTCCAGGGGGCCTGTTTCAGTTTAACCGGTTACCCATGGGACTTCACTCCTCTCCTGCGACGTTTCAGCGTCTTATGGAATTGGTTTTGTCGGGCTTGCAGTGGGAGACGTGCCTCATTTACCTTGACGATGTCATTGTTTTCGGTAAAACGTTCGAAGAACACCTCCAGCGATTGAGAGGGGTGTTCTTGCGAATGCGATCGGCTAAATTAAAGTTTAAACCGGCCAAATGCCATCTTTTTCGTAAATCCGTGAGGTACTTGGGTCACATTGTCGACTCTTCGGGGATTTCTACCGATCCTGCGAAGACGGACTGTGTCAGTTCGTGGCCGACGCCCACGTCAGTGTCAGACGTGCGCAGTTTCATCGGTTTTGCTTCGTATTATCGCCGATTCGTTGAGCACTTCGCCACCATTGCAAAGCCCTTGCACGCTCTAACGGCAAAAGGAGTGAAGTTCCGGTGGGGACCGGAGGAGGAGGCTGCATTCTGTTCCCTCCGGGACGCCTTGGTAAGGGCCCCACCCTTGTGCTATCCGGACTTTGAGAGTCCCTTCTTGCTAGACACGGATGCTAGCAACACGGGCATTGGGGGAGTGCTGTCCCAAGTCGTTGGAGGGGTCGAACGGGTGGTCGCCTATGGTAGCAGGGTGTTGTCGCCGGCAGAGCAGCGCTACTGCGTCACCCGTCGTGAACTACTTGCCATTGTTTTTTTTGTACAACAATTCAGGCCATATCTCTATGGTCGTCATTTCACGGTCCGGACGGACCATGCGGCGCTCCAGTATTCATTACGGGTTGCCCAGCCCTCGGGCCAATTGTCGCGGTGGTTGGAAGTCCTCCAGGACTATCAGTTCACGACTACGTACCGTAAAGGGTTGCGACACACGAATGCCGATGCCCTGTCGCGGTTGTTGCCTTGTCACAAATGTGCGTGCTTATCGGGATCGGCGCGCTGTAAACCTCCGGTTACGGAAGGTAGGGAGGCGTTGGTTGCGACCGCGAGCACACCAATTGGGGATGGTCCCGCTACCCCAGGGGGTCAGGACTCGCTGCTCTCACTGTCGTTGATTGAGTGGGGCCGTCTCCAAATGGCGGACAGCTCCCTGCTGACATTGCGCCGAAAGACGGAGGGTTCCGAAGGTAGCCACGACCGAACTGGCTCCTACGAGCTTAAGCAGGGCCTGTTGATGAGATGGGACAGTTTGTCCCGACGGCATGCGATTGTGGTGCCTTCTGCTGTGAGGGGGAAGGTTGTCTTGGCCGCACACGAACGCCTCTTGCATTTGGGAGTTAACAAAACGCTTGCCCTGCTTCAGCGTGACTATTATTGGCCGGGAATGGGGGGTGACGTGGTGAATATTCTGAAGGGTTGTGTTGAGTGCGCCAGACGGAAACCACCGCCCGTGGCAGCTAATCCACCGCTGCAATCTATTCAGGTCTCGCGCACTAACGAGCTCGTTGCACTCGATATTCTGGGGCCCTTTCCGGTCACGCCTAGGGGTAATAAGTACCTGTTGGTGGGGGTCGAATATTTTACCCGGTGGCCTATGGCGTGGCCACTCGCCAACCAGTCGGCGGCGGCTGTGACGGACGCCTTTGTCCAGGGCTACGTCCTGGACAAGGGGGCTCCCGAACGCTTGCTGATTGACCAAGGGAAAAATTTTTCGAGTAAATTACTGCAGGAGGTGTGCGACCTGTTGGGTACCAAAAAGGTGCGTACCTCCCCGTACCACCCGCAGACGGACGGGATGGTGGAGAGGCTTAACAGGACATTGACCTCTATGCTGTGCCAGCAGGTGTGTGAGTCGCATGTTGATTGGGACCTGCAGGTCCCTGGGGTCCTTGCCGCGTATAGAATGGCCCCCCATGCAGCTACGGGGTTTTCCCCGTTTTTTCTAATGTACGGTCGGGAAGCCGACCCGCCCATGGAAACGCAGCTGGGTCTGCCCGCACCACGAACTAATTCTAAATTGGCAGAGCATATTAAATTTAATATTCATAAACTGACAGAGGCAAGGGAGGCCGCACGGCTTAATTCGCGGGCTCGCCAAATTGCGAACGAGCGGTTGCGGGCACGGAAGGTGTCCGTGCACAATTGGGAACCAGGTGACAAGGCCTGGCTGCATTGCCCTCAGGCACCTTTGGCCACGTCGCCTAAATTGTTGAAGCCGTGGCGGGGACCCGTGGAGGTCGTGCGGGTGGCACGCCCCCAGTGCGTTCAGATAAAATGGGGGAAACGCCGTTGGTACGTCCACCCCTCCCGACTGAAACCGTTCTCGCCTCCGTATGGCCTCCCCTTGTGTCGTGAGGGCCGAGCATGTGACGTGACCGACGACCCTGAGAGGGAATTGTCCTTGCCTGCTCCTCACATGTCTCCGCCTGATCCGCTCCCAGGTGTCTCGGAACTGACTGCTGCCGACCACCGGCGGCCGGATCTTCACGGCGGGGCCGGTCCTTCCAGGCCCGACCCGTGCCGTCTAGAGCTGCCGGAGACACCGGACGGTCGCCAACGTCCCGTTCCATACGACGGACCGGCCAGACGGACTCGCGCTAGGTCGCGCTACTTTGTGTAACCTACCACGTGCGGAGTCGAGGCAGCCGGAGCGCCTCGGCACTGCGTGGGTCACAGTGACACTTGGCGCGTTCGTTTTACGGTGTTCGCTTTTATTGTGTTGTTCGTCGGGCTGTATATTGCTTCATATTTAAGGTTGTGTTATGTTGTTGTTGTTGTGTTACGGGGCACACTGGGATGTGGAGTTCTTTATTACTGCGTTGCGTTATGTTGTGTTGTAGGTTAACAGCCGGGCCGGCTGCAAGCTATGTGGGAGGGGGTGATGTAGAGGTGATACGCGCTGGGATTAAGGATCGTATGCACAGTGCGTGATGATTGGCTGTGTAGGTGGTGACGCGCGCTGACGGTGGAGGATCAGGGGTCAGCGCGGGGTCGTGGGTTACGGGGTACCGATTGGCTGTGGGCGGTGACGCGCTGAGAGAGAGTGCGTCGTGATTGGGTCATTAAGGAACGACGCTCACGTCGACGCCGCATCAGCTCCGTCCCTCGTGAGCAGGGGCTATAAAAGGGGATGCACACAGGCGTAAGGGCAGAGTGTAACCAGCGAAGAAGGAAGACGGGGATGAAGACCTAGAGCCCTGCGGTACCTAGCCCCGCTGTCCTAAGGGGACCGGGACTCTGTGTAACCCAGAGGCGAGTGTAGTGGGTGTAGCCATAGGTCTACACGAGCCGAATGTACTATGTGTAGCCAGAGGCATAGGGCTTACACGAGTCGAGTGTATTGTGTAGCCAGAGGCATAGGGCTTACACGAGTCGAGTATATTGTGTGTAGCCAGAGGCATAGGGTCTACACGAGTCAAGTGTATCGGGTGTAGCCAGAGGCCTAGAGCTTACACGAGATTAGTGGAGTGTGTCGGAGGAAGAAGAGAGACCACACGTTGTATTGTGATACCTAAAGGATTTAATAAAAGTGTGTTACCCGTCAAGAAGTTCCTGCCGTCAATTCCCATACTTCACTAGCAATGAATTGGCACGCTCTGTTCACGTGACAAACCTTACTACATTAATATTTACGCGATCTAACCCAAAAACCTCTATTATGGAAAATATTTTTACTTCCCAGAGCTGGAGATGTATTCACATTTAGTGAAACACCAAATGTAATTTCATGGAGTCGTTGGTGACTCGGCTGGGCCCATTCAGCTCGCTGCGTTTGGCTGATTTGTAATCTCCACATGTCGATTGTGGTCACAGATCTGGGGCTTGGCAAAGAACCAGTTGACCTTCCTCAACTCGTACAAGATGAAGATGTCCGTGGTGCTGGGCGTCATCCACATGACGTTCGGAGTCATCCTCAGCTGCTTCAACCACGTGTAATATACTGTCCACATGCGAGCACTGGACCACACACTGCGGTGCTTGCACCGTACACGCTCGCGGCTCCAGACAGTGGAGGAATAGTGCCGGCACGTGGCGGTACTCTGTGCCGGGGCTCCGCACGACACCGACATGTATACCGGCATGATTCACCGCGATTCACGAAATTATTGATGAAACTCGTCCCCACTGTGGCGAGAGGGGCGCCACGGTGGCGAGATGTTAACTCCCTCGCCTGGCATGCAGGAGGTCGTGGGTTCGATCCCGACCCTGACGCCTGCTGCTGTATATTTGGAGTTTGTGTGTTCTCCCCGTGGTTGTGTGGATTTTTCTCCGGGTCCTCCTGTTTTTCCCTCCACATACAGAAACATGCGTTTAGAGTATTTGGCCGCTATAAAATTCCACATGGTAAGCCGCTTCGTTCAGCTATCATTTGTGGCCAGGTCGCTTCTGGGCCTTACCTGGTAAAATCAAAATAGAATAGTTAGAGCTGCTGTGCCAGGAGGCGGAATGACGCTGGTGATGTCAGGATTGCAAATCCAGTGCGCTGCTAACATTTACATCAACTGTGGCAGCGTGCCCCAAAAATCACAACAATGGTATTAAACTGTACGAAATGATGATGGTGATTAAAGCCCTGTGAGAGCTTTGATTTATTTTAAGCATGGGAGCTCGGTTCCGAACATACGTAGATATGTTGAACTTCTTTCGCACCGTACGTATCCAACCGGGCTAATTGGACGTGCGGGGGAAGGACCACAAAAAGCTAAAAGCAGTTCCTAAAGTAATGAAATTCTGGCGTTTTGGGCGCTAAACCCCATGCGTTCGTGCGTACTTGATCCCCCGCTCCCCCCCTCTCCCCTGGCACTCAACGCCGACAGCCACTTCCGCGACTACCCGAGCATCCTGCTGGTGTTTGTGCCGGAGATGGTGTTCATGCTGGCGCTGTTTGGGTACCTGGTGGTGATCGTAATCTACAAGTGGGTGGCGTGGCCTACCAGCATGTCTAACACGGCGCCCAGCATCCTCATCGACTTCATCAACATGTTCATGTTCAGGAGCTCGGACAACCTCTACGCTCACCAGGTCAGTGGGAGAGTTTGTTGCGGTGACAATGACAACGATATCATTTTGGCTTTGGTGTTCATCATCGATAGTGACAGTGATTACACCACCCACTGATGGTGACGGTGACTACGCCTGTCAGCGCTGTGATTGTGGCGCCGGCTCGCTCCGCTGACCCCGCCACGCCGCTGTTGTCCCCGCGAGCAGGCGAAGGTGCAGATGCTGCTGGTGGTGGTGGCCGTGCTCATGGTGCCAGTGTTGCTGCTGGGGAAGCCGCTGTCCCAGGTCGTCGCGTTGCGGATGAAGCGCAGGGTGAGCGGTGCGACGATCGTTTCCGTTGCTCGAGGGGTCCGATTGTGCAACTATGATGGTTCGCCTCCGTTCCCACGCGTGCTGCTGGTCAGGAGGTTTTCATAAACTGCGTCGGGCTGGGCTTGGCTTACGGGGGTTTCCCGCCTTCGGGGGGTAGGATGTGGGGGGGGGTGACCACCGTTTTTAAAGAGGGCGCGAGTTAATCGAGTACGAAACCAGCAGACAGGACATCGTTAGTCGATGAAGTCCGAGACTCCTGCGCAGGGGCGCTGGCTGTGCCGCTCCTTCGTCGCGTCCACGACCCTACGTGGGGATCACAGACGCACAGAGACGCGACCAGCCATAGACTCGTAGCGAGACTCGCACACTTACAGAGACTTGCATGGTTTTTTCACCGTTTTTGTTTTGTTGTTGTAACTTTCTGACTCGCTCCGACTGGACATCTGTGAAAAAGAGCTTCATAGCTCACCGGATTCCTCCAGGATAAATACAGATTCTGATTCTGAGGCTCATAGACTCGCTTACATTAACACGATCCAGAGAGTTACGTAGAGCACTATCAATTTGCAGAGAGACACGTGAACTTTGGCGGGGCGCGGGGGGGCACTGCTCAGAGTTTCTCTCTCCACGAGCGTCTATCCGGCGCCTCTTCTGCAGTCCCGTCCACCGCCCTCGCGTCTCGCTCACCGCACCGCCCCCTCGCTCACTCCCAGTCAAAATCACAATCTTCTTTATTTAGATTGGAAGACTCCGATGAGCTATGAATCCCTTTTTCACAGATGTCCAGTAAGGGCACGGGGTTAGAAAGTTACAACACCAAATACAATGCAGACAAGACGCTGGCGTCACACGGCGGAGTGGGGAGATGCTCGCTGGACGCGCGTCGTGCACATGGGGGCAGCCCCGTTCGTCTCTCTGCCGCCGGACGTAGCCCTCTGGTTGCGATCGCTCACCGAGCCCTCCCCCTCCTCCCATTCGCAATGTCCCCCCCCCCCCCCCATGCCCCCCACTCCGCACCCCAGCAGACGAATCTCACGCTGCTGATTCAGTCGGAGGAGAGGACGCCGCTCCTGACCGCCGTGACCGTGGAGGACGAACCGGACTCTGAGCACGCGGAGGTGAGTGTGCGGAGTCTGTCCACGCGTGAACGCGTTTAGATGAAGACGTCGCGACGCTCTGTCCCGGCCGGCTGCCTGGGTCTGCGCGAGGCCTCCCGCTGGAGGTGTGGAGAAGCTCATCGCCACCACTGTGCTGCAACTTTGGTTTCGCGAAAAAAAATACAAAAACGGCGGCGATCTTTTTTTGTCCATTTTGTTGTCGGCGTCGTGAGACGAGGAGAGATCCTCTCCGGACTTCTCCCAACGAATCCATCTCAATAAAATCGTCTTTTTATCCTTCGGTCGACCCTTCCGTCCCGACCGCGTTGTGCCTGTGGCGCGTAGCGGGGTCGTGACGTGGACTGTCCGTGGGGGTCCGGACCAACGTTCGAAGAAAGGATTTCGTTGCGTTTACAAATAGACGGCCATGTTTGGAACGTGACGTCGCCACGGTTTTCACGAGCCGCACTCCCCCTTCCGCTACAACGTGCAGGTTGACTTCAGCGACATCTTCATGCACCAGGCGATCCACACCATCGAGTACTGCCTGGGCTGCATCTCCAACACGGCCTCCTACCTGCGCCTCTGGGCGCTCAGCCTGGCGCACGGAGGTGCGTCCTCAGTCTCGTCTCGTCGTCCCTCCGTCCGCTCTGCCCCCACCCCGGCCCTTCCCCTTATTATTATTATTGTAACTCTCTGACCCGCCCGTGCTGCGCATCGGTGAAAAAGGGCTTCGCGGCTCATCGGATTCCTCCTGCAGTCTAAATAAAGATTCTGATTCTCAAATGCGGAGAAAGAAAATCTGCGACACGCAAAGCCGTCTCAAAATGGTGGGCCCCGTGTTGATCGCCGGCCGTGCGTGACGGAGTCACGGGCCCTAGGCTCCCGGAAACTTCCCTGGGCTCCTCTTGCTGTGGTCTTCGGTGAATGTGAACGTACGCCACCCCAACCCCCCACCCCCCTCGCCCCGTGTGTCCCCCCCCCCTCCCGCGCGTGCGCAGAGCTGTCCGAGGTGCTGTGGAAGATGGTGCTGAGCTTCGGGCTCCGGTCGACGAGCTTGTCGCACGCCGTGCTGCTGGTGCCCATCTTCGGGGCCTTCGCTGTGCTCACGCTCTCCATCCTGCTCGTCATGGAGGGGCTCTCCGCATTCCTGCATGCGCTGCGCCTGCACTGGTAACCGCGCAACTACAACAACCACCGCTAGCCACCGAGCGGCACTGACGGCGCCACGGCACGCTCGTGCCAGGCCAGGTGCACTTTAGGGCCATCGCGCGTGCGTTGTGGTCGGACCGGGTTCTCAGGGGCAGGGAGATGATGGTCTCGGCCTGCTCACCAGTGACTTAGATAGAGACCCATAGACCGCACAGTCACCCAAAGACTCGCATAGATTGCGTTGCAATTAAACTGGGTTTTTATGGGGGCAGTGAAGTTGATGGTCTGAGCCTGTTTATCAATGGCTACACAACTACCAGCTTTTGAGATAAAAACAAAAATTAGATTTGACTCATTCTTCGAACATTATTCTCGGTTTGTGGAAAGGTGGGTGGGTGGGTGCGTGGGTTGATGCGTGGGTGGGTGGGTGCGTGGGTGGGTGCTTGGGTGAGTTTGGGTGGGTGGGTGAGTTTGGGTAGGTGGGTGAGTTTGGGTGGGTGGGTGAGTTTGGGTGGGTGGGTGAGTTTGGGTGGGTGGGTGGGTGAGTTTGGGTGGGTGGGTGGGTGAGTTTGGGTGGGTGGGTGGGTGAGTGAGTTTGGGTGGGTGAGTGAGTTTGGGTGGGTGGGTGGGTGAGTGAGTTTGGGTGGGTGGGTGAGTGAGTTTGGGTGGGTGGGTGGGTGAGTGAGTTTGGGTGGGTGGGTGGGTGAGTGAGTTTGGGTGGGTGGGTGGGTGGGTGAGTGAGTTTGGGTGGGTGGGTGAGTGAGTTTGGGTGGGTGGGTGAGTGAGTTTGGGTGGGTGGGTGAGTGAGTGAGTTGGGTGGGTGGGTGAGTGAGTTTGGGTGGGTGGGTGAGTGAGTTTGGGTGGGTGGGTGAGTGAGTTGGGTGGGTGGGTGAGTGTTGGGTGGGTGGTGAGTGAGTTTGGGTGGGTGGGTGAGTGAGTGAGTTTGGGTGGGTGGGTGAGTGAGTGAGTTTGGGTGGGTGGGTGAGTGAGTGAGTTTGGGTGGGTGGGTGGGTGAGTTTGGGTGGGTGGGTGGGTGGGTGAGTTTGGGTGGGTGGGTGAGTTTGGGTGGGTGGGTGGCCAGCACTACGCCCGGCTGCCTTTCTCTTCTGAGTGGTGGTGCTTACAGATCGCACCAGCTACTCATTTGAAGCTGAGTCGACCTAGGAGGAGGCCCAGGACCGGTTCAAATATTCTTCACCACTGTTGTTGGTCGTGAGTGGGAATCGAACTCGGGTCGTAGTGCAGCGCGCACACCACTGCACCACCACTCGCACGCACACATGCATACACGTACACACACACTCACCACCAGATGGCGTGCTAGCTTCCGTGGGTCCTGACCTTGTATCTCTTAGTTCATCGTGGACAAAAAACAACGGCAAGTCAATCGCTGTTCACGAGCGTTGAGCAGAGCTCGTAGGTGTTTCTCTCTCTCCCAACGTTGTTCACGCTGCGCTTTGGCATCGAGAGGCAGACACGGACACTCGGAACGCTCGCTCAACATTGCATTACCCCACGTGTTAGACAACGGCCTGCGAAACTACTTCTGAGATCCCGCGCGTGACCTCTTATGGATACGGGGAGGGGGGGGGCAACAGCACTCTCGTACGGGCCCTGGCATAGAGACTGTGGTACAGGTGCGCTTACTGCACCTGTGCATCATCCACTGAGCCTCTATTGAGGAGCCTATTGAGGCCGGCACGGTGCATGAGTGGGTGCTGTGGAAACAAACTAAAACTAAACTATTTTTATTTTACCAGGTAATTCCCCACTAAGCTATAGAGCTCTTTTTCAGAAGCGACTTGGCAATCACAAATGATAAGCTTTACGAAGCGGCTTATCACGTGGACATTTATAGAACTGATTTTGTTGATTCTAGGAGTTTGAGTTTATTAGTTTATGTCATGGGTCTGCATTTGTGACCGGGCTAAGAGCCACCGACCGGCTGCTGCGCTTGAGAATCCAGTTCAATCGCGCGGGTGCCTGAGGTCCCGGCTTCAAACCCAGGATCTCACGGAGCCGGCTCAGTGCCCTCTGCCCCTCTGAGCCCTGAGCCTCTCGGCCGTCTGTGGTTCAGTCTCCTCCTCACCGCGCCGAACTTCATCGGAACAAGGCTGTTTGTGAAACAAACTAAGAATGCCTATTGTTGTAAATGTCATTATTTTGTAAAATTGTTCTTGTTGTATTAATATATTTTGGTGCGGATCCCAGTTCCTGTAACACGTAGAGATACTCGCTGTTTGTGTCATGTCCTATTGAACTCAGATCTGTACTGTACAACAAGTGTCCAGCAGCTCATTGGGCCCTTCCTGCTAAAATAAATAATCTAATTCTCAAGTTATGTTATTTTAAATATGACTAACCAACTAAAACGTAGTAGATCAGCTTTGCTTGTTTAACTTTGTGCCAATTAACGAAGTAATTAGCACAAACCTAAACATGTGCTAATTTACCTTCAAATTAAAGTACTAATATATTGATCGAGGCTCTTCGTAATCTCATTCAGCAGGCACCACATTTAGATATTCATATAATTTACAGCTCTTTGTCAGAATCTGAATAGATGTCTAGTAAATCCTCTGCTGAATAAAGGCCTCCACTTAACGTTTTGGCCATAGGAGTTGCTTGACCATACTTCACCATACTAGTCAATGCAGGTCTGTGAATGGCCTATCTTTCACTCGCCACTGATGCTAGCCACGGCCGCGATGGAATTCCTTGGTTTCGTAGCGCAGCGCGCAAATCACTGCACCACCGCTCCCATGTGTACGTAAACGAGCAAAGAGGAGGGGGGCAGGGGGGTGGGAGGTGGGGGGCTAACTGCGCCGAGATGACGTTCCCCTTCAAAGACTTCCAAGAATCCACACTTTGCATTTACTTTCTGGTTTCCATCGCAACCGCACAACCACCACATGGCTCACGCTCACACGTGTATGTGTGCGCGTGTGTGTGCGCGCGTCTGTCCGTGCATGTCCACGTGTATGTCCGGGTGGGGAGCGGTGAGGCAGCGGTTAGTGTGCCGCGCTATGAACCTGGCGACACGAGTTTGATTCCCGCTCACGACCAACACCAGTGATGATAATCTGAACCGGTCTACGTCCTGTCCTAGGTCGACTCAGCCTCACATGAGTACCTGGTGGTCGGGCGTGGTGCTGGCCACTCACCCCCTCGTGTACCATCACGGCCTCAATAGGTGCTCGCTAACAGTACTTGCCCCAACAGTCTGTTAATGTTGGGGGATCTTTGTCTTTTTGTGTGTCCGTGTCCACGCAGGGTGGAGTTCCAGAACAAGTTCTACAAGGGCTCGGGGTACCTGTTCGTTCCGTTCTACTTCCAACCAATCCTGGAAGGCCTGGTGCACTCAGACTAAGCCCCCCGCGGTTATCCCAAGAAACCCCCCCGCCCCCTCACGTACTTTACTTTTACAAAACGCAACAGGGATTACACGAGATTTCTACCACGCACCTGCCATTCTCAAGCGGTCGGCTGCCGATATTTTTTCAACATCCCCCTCCCCCGCGTCCTCGCGATGGTTTTCAGATTAAAACGTTTTGCGTTCCGGAATTTTAGGGCCAGTTTTAGATGTTTATTCTTCACATTTTCTGATAATTTTGTTGAAAACTTCTTTGTACCAACGACGGTGACGTCACGCGACGCCGCCGCTCTTGGCCGGAGAAGCGCGGCAGTGATGTCACGCAAAGCTAAATGTTCGAATCATCCGCAATTTTGCATTTTGGCCTTGTTTTCAGGTTTTTCTGATTTATCCGGAATTAGAGAGCACGTCCCTCCCAACATACCAGTTTTCAACGCGTTAATCTTACTGCTTCCTAAACAGTTTGGCGACGAAAAATGTCGATAATGTTTGCTTTGAAAAGTCAGTACGTGCCAAACGGTCTAGAGCATTGGCAGCCTAGTGCTTCAGTCGGCAGGGTTGGTCAGTCAGTACGTCGCACGCACGCGCACGCAATGCTGCTCATCTCCCATGCAAACATCAACCTCCCCTTCGCCTTACTGTCGACTGGACGGCGTGATGCTAGCGAGCACCTGCTGAAGGTCGGCAGCACTGCTGGAGAGTGGTGGTGGTGGTGTGGCCAGGACCACGTGTGGGGGTTCCTGGGGTTCTCCCGTGGCTATGGGCGGGCTGCACCATGAGGCTCGGAACAAGTTGAGGTGCTCGGCGTGGCCGGGGAATTGAAATTGAGACCATTGCATCGCCACAGCGATAAAGAGCCTCTGTGTAGACTTTAACAGACTGTTGGGGCGGGAGCTGTCAGCGAGCTCCTATTAAGACCGATACAGTTCCAAGGGGCAGTGTAGCCACCTTTGTCTCTCTAGCGCTGATGTTGATACGCTCTCTCCCCAAGCACTCATTTGAGACTGAATTGACGAAGGGAAGTCCCCAGACTTGTTCTGATTCCAGTTGCTACTGATAGTTCGCTGTGACCGGGGATTGAACTCAGGCCGCCGGGTTCATTGCGCACTGTCACCACCCACCACTGCATCACCCCACCACCCCACCACCCCACCACCCCACCACCCCACCACCCCACCACCCCACCACCCCACCACTCCACCACCCCACCACCCCACCACCCCACCACCCCACCACCCCCCACAGTCACTGCACAAGATCTCCTGTCTAGCCTTTAACAGACTGTTGTGGACAGTGCTGTTAGCGAGTAGAACCTATGAAAGCTGGCGCAGCACACCAGGGGGTGGCTAACACCACGCCCGGCCACCTGTGTATTCCCAATGCTGATGTTTACACACCGCACCTGGGACTCGTTTGAGGCTGATTCGATCTAGGGGAGGCCTAGGACCACTTCAAATATCTGCTGCTGTTGGTCGTGAGCGAGAGTCGAACTCGGGTCTCCGGGTAGCGCACCGCTCTCCTACACGCACGAAATACTGCCACAATGTACAGGTTTTTTTTTTTTATCCCGAATGCGAAAGGGAATTTGCTACTTGAGAAATTTTTATATGGAAAACATTGACTATGGTTTTCTCTTGTGAATGCTGTGTTTAAAATAGTTTTTTAAACAAATCTTTTAGCGGCGGGCGGGCGGGCAGTGGTGGGAAAGGAAACGTTGGGGGGGGGGGGGTGGGGAGACAGTGCACGCGTTGCTATCGCCGGGCACGTAATCCTCGTCTACTTCCGAAATTGAAGTTAAAACCGAAGCTGTGGCGGGCTCGCCCGAGAGACCGCGGGAAGCGAGTCTGGTTCCCGACTCTATGGCCGATCGGGGCCATCGATGGGGAATTTCGCGTTTCCATGGTTTGGTCGCACATTTCATTCCAATGGTTTGGTAAGAGAACAAGGATCCATCGACCCATCGACCACCATCGATTCTCGCGGTGCACGGATCGAATCGCGTGTGCACATGTGTTTGTGTGCGCACGATAGGCTAACGTTACGTCTCGGCTGGCGGGGCTAGCAGAGCTGTTTGAAACGAGAAACAATACAAACGAACTGCTAAAACGAGCCACGGCCAACCAATCCTTGAATCGAATTGTGTCCGTGAATTTAAGACGATTTGATTTACTCGCTTGCTGGGAGGCTGGATCGTGACGGCCCTCATTATTAGCGTATTAACTCCATTGGCGAAGTCATGGCCTTTGTAGCGAAACCTTCCAGATGCACAGTAAAAAACAACCAAAAACAGTGGGTGCCAAGAATATAGCCAACAGCAGGAGCCGAGAACAACTAGAACCGGTCAGAGTGAAAGTGTGTGTGTGATTCCACGATACAGAAGACGCGTTCACGCGGAACCTGTGGCGATTGTGAACGAGTGACGCACGCGCTTCGCGGGTGACGCGCTCCGCGGGTGACGCGCTCCGCGGGTGACGAGCTCCGCGGGTGACGCGCTCCGCGGGTGACGAGCTCCGCGGGTGACGCGCTCCGTGGGTGACGCGCTCCGTGGGTGACGCGGCCCAGGGCCCTCTGGCCCCCACTGCTGCGTTCCCCAGTGTTGTCGTGCCCCCCCCCCCCACCCCCCCATGTCTGCTGCGTGTGGTGGTGCAGTCGCCACCGGCCATTTGCCCGCCACAATGCGACAACTCGGCACGCGCATTGTCACACAAACAAAAATTCCAAATAAAATTCAAATGTTTGCCAAATAATTTGTGTGCGATGTTTTTGGAGTGAACTTCCATCGCTGAACGACGGCTTCCTCGTGCGGTGCCTTCACTGCGCAATTGTGCAGGGCAATCCGTTTACAGATACCCCACTGATTTCCAATGACCCTCCGTCCCTGTTTTGGACAGCTGACGTGTGAGTATCGTGAAAGCGATGTCGCAGAAGGGAGGGTTCAAAGATGTAATGACTGCGCTGAGATTGGAGCTAGACTTGTAAGAGGGTTTGAAATGAAACGATTTCAGTATATGGCAGTCCTCGACTTAAGAACACGCACTTACGAATGGGCCTCGGCAAGATACGGTAATTCTAGATTTGAAGCTTTCGTGACTGCAAGCATTCATATTCTTAGGTTTTTTCGGTAAAGTCACGTAGGTAAAAAATTAAAATTAATAATTGAGGACTTGGTCCAACATGGATTGAATTCGGATGTACCTGCGCTGGTTAGGCATTGCCTCACCAACACTTATTTTACCTGAAATGGCACCTTCTACAAACACAATGACGGTACCCCTATGGGCTCCCCCTTGTCACCAGTAATAGCCAACGTGTTCATGGAAAAGTTTGAATCAGACGCCATCCAGACATCCACCCTGCGTCCTTCCCTGTGGAAGAGGTATGTGGATGACACTTTCGTCATTTGGCCACATGGCCTCCCAGCATTGAACCACTTCTTGGACCACATCAATTCCAGACACCCATCCATCAGATTCACCATGGAAGTGGAGAAAGATGGTAAACTACCATTCTTAGATATTCTGTTTGAGAGGAGACCTGACGGATCCTTGGGACATTCTGTCTACAGGAAAGCCACCCACACAGATTCCTACTTGAAACCTGATTCCCACCACCACCCATCTCAAAATAATTCTCTCATCAAAACGCTATACCACAGAGCTCATGGCATTTCTGACCAACACCACCTGGCCAGTGAATTAAGACATGTACATCGGGCCCTCAGGATGAACGGATACTCTGACCGCACCATCCGCCAAGCTGTTTCTCCCACCATACAGAAACAGCCACATGAAACTCCGATCAAAACTATCACGTTACCATACATAGCAGGCGTGACCAAAAAGATCTCCAAAATTCTAAACAAACATAAGATCCAAGTCCGATTCAGTACAGTACATAAAATCCGTGATCTAATTCCATCTGTGAAAGATGTCATTCCTGACTTACAATGCCCTGGAGTCTACAAACTGAGTTGCAGTTGTGGTGATTGCTACATTGGAGAAACGAAACGTCATATCTCTGATCGTGTCCGCGAGCACAAGTCAGATCTGAAACACGGCAAAACTGATTCTTCCGCCGTTGCCGATCATTGCTACAACGCTGTGGGCTCTCATGAAATTGTCTTTTCCGAGACCAAGGTGCTCTGCAAACCTCCTGGCTACCATCAAAGGTTTGTACATGAAGCCATCCAAATATACAAACACAGACATAATTTCAACCGTGATGATGGGTCCAAACTTAGTAATCATTGGAAAGATGTTATTAACCATGCAAAAAAGATTTAACTACACATATTTGGACCATCTTATTTGACAGGCACTATTCTTCAGTTACCGTATAGTTTCTTCTTTTTTCACACACTGGTTTTCCTACTTTAAGTTTTACCACACATATTTGGCAAATCTAGAATTAATCCCAGCAACGTAGCAAAAGTGCTGTTTCATCTACATAACAAAGGCTAAGTCCCATTCACAGCAGCCGCACCTTTACATCAGCCGCACCTTAACAACTCTTTAGAACCTCCCAGTTCAACCAGTCTACACAACAAAGACTCATTCCTGGCAGTGGTTTCAGCCTCACCACCTCTACATAACAAAAGGCTCAGTCCCATTTACACGCACCTTTACATCAGCCTCACCTTAACAACTCTTTTCAACCAGTCTAGACAACAAAGGCTCATTCCTAACAGCGTGCTTCAGCCGCACCGAACCTCACAATAATAATATTGAAGTACCGGTGAAGACGCTTGACGCCGAGGTTGAGGCACACGTATATTTATTTCACAGTATGACAGTGGGCATATACACTCTCACCCGTATAACTCGGGATACACCCCTAGCTAACTCTGTCCTAGCCCCGAATCCTCCACTAATGGGCTAGGGGAGGCTAACTGGCCCGACACTGGTAAGTCGGGCCCGGTACCCGGAGTTCCAGACCAGCTCTTACAAGAGCACCGGCTCTGGCTTTCGGGACCACGCCGCTGGCTCAATCCTGTCCGGCCCTGAAAAGGACATCGAACCAGGGGAGTCCAGGGCTCTATCTAAGACGTCTTCAATCTTCTTCCCTTAGCTTAAACATAACTGCCGAGCCCTTTGAAACATCCCCTTTTATACCCAACCCCTCCCTGAGGGGTGGGGCCCCGGGGGATCATAACGTTCGAACCAGCCCCCCCCAGGGTGTCTGGCTCGGACGTCGTAGAGAGCACTTGCTCGTGCACTTACGTAGCCCCGCCCACTGTGTTTGTTTTCCATAGGCTGCCATGCATAACGGGCCCTCTCTTTAACACCCCTACAATATCCTGCCTTGGCTCCTCCCACCCTCAACCAGTATATATACAAGGCCTGTTTTCTTGGAATTTCTCTCACTTGATACAGCTATCGTGCTGTGACGGTTCCACCTGAAGACGGAGGATTGTGTTGCCTCCGAAACGTCGTGATTTTTATTTTATTTTAATTTTACTTTTATGAATTTAAATTTAAATTTTTTACCTACGTGACTTTACAGAAAAAACCTAAGAATAAGCACACATGGACTCCATCTATATGGGATTGTGTGTTCCCCCATGGCACGGGTCGACTCCACATTAATGGAGTTGGCTCAAAGTCCCAATTCAGGGTCACAAAACTGGGCAATTGCTGGCCCCAGTTTTTGATTGCCTTCTGTTTGCTTGTCTGGTTTCCCACGCCTCTTCAGTCGAACGCATTACAAATTTGTACATCTAATTTTATTATTTAAATGGGGTGGAACACTCTACCTGTGTCTACTATGGGCAGTGTCCACCATCGGCAGTGTCTAAGATGGGCACAACATGTCAACAAATGGGAAGTTATTGAAGCCAACGATGACTTAAGTGGACGAAAATCGTCAATCGAGACGATGGCTACGACTACTCACCAACACCACCAATACCAACAGCCGCCATTCGCCACCAAGTGACCGAGACGTCACCACGGCGCGTGTGCCAGGCCAGGTGCACTTTGAGGCCACGTGAAGTGTCGTTGGAGAGAGACCCAGTAGGTGCCATGGGTTGGCTGACTGAGATGACTGGCTGATGCACCACCAGCTGTACCCCCTGCTGTGCCAACAAAATCACCACCACCAGCACCATCGTCATCTACCCACTGGGGAGAGAGCGAGTGCGACGAGAGGTCGTGCACCGAGGTAACGCGGTTAGCATCGCCAGAGGCTGCAGGGCACCGACATTGCGGCGCTGACCTGGCCCGGGAAATTGACGACGACGCCGCCGAGGAGCGAACAGAACGGTTCACCGCTTTGGTCGACTTGGCGGAGATTCCGACTCGAATTTAAAAAATCCGCCGACTTGGGAGTGCGCTCGCATTCCACGGGTTCGCTGTCGACTCGGGGCCGAGGGAGTAGTGCGATAATCCTCTTCATCACCTACGGGACGTGAGGCCGCACTGAGTTCCCTCCACTTCTTCCTGTCCTTGGCAACTTGTTGAGGCTCGCCCCAAGAGAGGTTGATCACTGTCACCAGCTCGTCCTTAACGGCCTTGCGCCACGTGGTCTTGGGTTGCCCTTTTGCCCGGTGATTTCCATCTTAGGGCAATTTTTTGGAATACTTTTAGTGGTAGTGTCGACCCGAGACATCAACTAAAATAAAGTCGGAATAAACGAGCGCGGTGCCGCAGGGACCGCGTAAGACTGCACGTGAACGTGTTCTGAGATAATCACAGGAACTGTGGAACGAACGAGAGGCAAGCCTGGTAGGACGACGAATTGAGTGACATCGTCAGCAATTTGCACGTGGTGGTCAATTGTTCAGTGTCCACCATGAGCAGTGTCCACCACGTACAGTGTCCACCACGTGCTGTGTCGACCATGAGCAGTGTCCACCACTCAGTGTCCACCACGAGCAGTGTCCACCACGGGCAGTGTCCACCACAGTGTCCACCACGTGCAGTGTCCACCACTCAGTGTCCACCATGAGCAGTGTCCACCCTGGGCAGTGTCCACCACGTGCAGTGTCCACCACTCAGTGTCCACCACGAGCAGTGTCCACCCTGAGCAGTGTCCACCACGGGGCAGTGTCCACCACGAGCAGTGTCCACCATGAGCAGTGTCCACCCTGGGCAGTGTCCACCACGTGCAGTGTCCACCACGTGCAGTGTCCACCACAGTGTCCATCACGAGCAGTGACCTTGAGTGGAGTTCTGAGATGTTGCTATGCCTGATGACGCTGGGTGTTATCTCCTGCAGCGAAACGTCGGATGTGATTTGTCAAACTTTGGTCACGTTTCAACGTAAGCGGATTTTCTGAAAAACAAAAAAAAACAATTGGCTCCCTTGTCCACGCGACAATTGGATCGGTTGGGCTGTGTCGGGTGGTGGAGGGCACACAGCTCACATTGACGTTACATCCACAACGTCTAACCCACAGCAAGGAAGTCGGGCATGAATTATTATTATGAGCATTTATATATATTGAACACATAACTGAGTACGAGCTAATATTTTGGCGTGACCCTATTTTCCACGAAGTCCCTTGAGGCGGTAAACTTTTTCTGGGTTTGTTTTTGCTCAGCCCCACCTCTGTAACCCGGAAAACTGTCAGCAGAGCAGGCAGCTGTCAAGCCACGTGGTGTACTGGCTATACCGCACCTCACTGGACAATGTCACCAGACAACACATGCTCCATCCGTCACTAGTTGTCACCAGTAACCAGCGATCACACCCAACACACACCACCACAATACAACACACCACACTGTCTGTCACACCAGCTGACATGTCACCACCTTTCACCAGCTGTTATGTAACTACCGTCACACCAGCTGACACGTGACCACCGTCACACCAGCTGACACGTGACCACCGTCACACCAGCTGACATGTCACCACCGTCACACCAGCTGACACGTGACCACCGTCACACCAGCTGACACGTGACCACCGTCACACCAGCTGACACGTGACCACCGTCACACCAGCTGACATGTCACCACCGTCACACCAGCTGACACGTGACCACCGTCACACCAGCTGACATGTAACCACCGTCACACCAGCTGACACGTGACCACCGTCACACCAGCTGACATGTAACTACCGTCACACCAGCTGACATGAGACTATCATCACACCAGCTGCCACGTGACCACAGTCACACCAGCCGACATGAGACCATCATCACACCAGCTGACACGTGACCACCGTCACACCAGCTGACACGTGACCACCGTCACACCAGCTGACATGTAACCACCGTCACACCAGCTGTCACGTGACCACCGTCACACCAGCTGTCACGTGACCACCGTCACACCAGCTGACACGTGACCACCGTCACACCAGCTGACATGTAACCACCATCACACCAGCTGACACGTGACCACCGTCACACCAGCTGACATGAGACCATCATCACACCAGCTGTCATGTAAACACCGTCACACCAGCTGACATGTAACCACCACGAATTTACAGCTGACGTGCGTCATTCACCACACTGTGTTCAACCATCACGCACTGCAGGTCACAGTGCTTCTGTTTATGCTTGGACTCTGGAATTCCCTCCCGTCATCTCGCGTCACAGGTTCGCAAGACACCTTCCCGGTCTGATCTGTGACACCTGCGATAGGGCCGTTTGTTGCTGGCTGCATGGCGTTGTTGGGCCTTGGCTCGGCATCTGCGATATTGAACAAACAGAAAGTGTTGCACCACCTGACGTGCACCGATCATCCCGAAAACCAACACCGCTCCGATGGCACCAGTTCAGATCCTGGCCAGGTGGAGTGGTGGCGCAGTGGTTGGTGAGTTCACGGTGCTATGAACCCGGCCACTTGTGTTCGATCCCCCTCCCACGGCTAATACCAGTGGCGAGTATGTAACGTCTGAATCGCACCGACCAGTGTGGTTAAGTATGGTCAAACAAACATCATGACCGACACGGAGGCCTTTCTCACACCATGCATCCCCAAGCAATTGCAGGGCTGCGCTTCTATCTTATAATAATTAGTGACATGGTGCTCTGGTCCCGTTCGCTCAAGAAGGTCTTCATCATTGAGCTCACAGTACCCTGGGAGGACTCAGTAGATGAGGTTTATGAGCGAAAACATCTGCGCTATGCCGATCTAGCTGCCGAAGCACTGCATCATGGCTGGAACACAGAAGTCCGACCAGTGGAGGTGGGCTGCAGAGGTTTTGTGGCAACATCTACAACCAGACTGCTTAGAGACCTGGGAATTAAGGGCCAGAGCCAGCGTTCGGCAATCAGAGCTGTATCGGAGGCGGCAGAAGGCAGCAGTCAGTGGCTCTGGATGAAGAGGAATAACCCCAGCTGGGCCCCGAAGTGAGAGGGCCAGGAGGTATGCGGTCAACAATGCTTGACTCAGGGAGGAGGACGCCCCTGCCATGCATAGTCCCATGGGATGTTGGCTATCAACAACAAGGCAACTCCTATGACTAATTGGGAATGGGACACAAGCGTAGGATTGATCACCCTGTCGCTGGCCGCCTTTGGGGAGGGTGTATAGTGTGAAAGGCCGAAACACCCTAGGAACCAAATGTATACTACTGACGATGCGCTCCCCAAATTTCACCAGGCTCACTGTTCATGAACTCTTGGAAGTGCTTGCACAAAGGATAGTAACATCTCATCCTGTGTTCTTGGAATCTAGCGCACGAGTCCGCCTTCACCGCATGAATGATAACCAAGCAGCACGAGCGACCATCCTCCACGCACAGAATCCGCCCACCAACCCTGGGTGTCTCCAGCCACCAGCCAACCAACATCTGCACGCATCACCACCAGCTCGCCACGCCTCACCGCCTGCACCTCCAGCGAGATGCAGCACGCACGATCGGTCAGTCGCACCCAGTTCAGTTCCCGGCACGCTCATGATGCTGCACGCTACTTATGCTTGAAGGTGGTGATGCTGCACCCTGGTGATGCTGCACGCTGGTGATACTGCACCCTAGTGATGGTGATCACTAGTGATACTGCACATTAGTGATGGTGCACACAAGTGATTCTGCACACGAGTGATACTGCAGGCTGGGTATGCTGCACGCTGGTTATGCTGCATGCTTGTGATGCTGATATAATTAGGCAACCTATTTAATGATGTTGTGCACAATGAACAAACACATATCTCAACACTTTTGTCATTAGCACTGTGGCTCTAAAATAAAAAAAAGTAAGAAATAGGTGACGTTTCGGGCCATGGCCCTTCTTTATAGCGCGTAAAAGCGATGTGCCTTCTTCAAAGCACGTGTGTGTGTGTGTGCTATAGAACATCTTCGGGCGTTAGAAACATTTAGGCTAGCCTGCCTACGATCCATCCTGGGTTTAACCAGGCTGGATTGTGTGAGCTCACATATCCTTGAAAGATCTGGACAAAGTCCCATTGGTGAGCTCCTCCGGCCGGCAAGGCTGCGTTGGCTGGGTCATGTAGCCCGCATGCCCAGCCACCGCATGCCTAAACAGCTTTTGTTCGGCCGGATCGAGGGGGCTAAACGGGCGCGGCAACGGGCTAGAGAAGAGATAGAGTGATGTGGTACAGGAGGACGTGGAGTTGAGTGGACTTGCCGATGACTGGTACCAGCGGTGTCAACATCGGCTTCTGTGGAGGAGGCTCGTGAAGGACGCTACTGGGCAGTTGGAGGCAGTCGCCCTCCGACAACAACGGAGGGCGGAGGAGCGATGCTCACAACAACGAGTGGAGCGCCGGGTGTATAAAGCACAGCAAGTTGGCACAGTAGGGGGCACAGGTGGTGCATCGGCCACTCATTTCAGTCAGTCGACCCGTGGCACCTGGGTCTGTCCTGTGACCTCCTGCCAGCGGGCGTTCGACACTTCACGTAGCCTCAACGTGCATATAGCCTGGCACAAGCGGCGTGGTGACCTCACTGCCACTTAGTGGCGAATGGCGGTTGTTGTTGTGCTATGAAAAAGGGAAATTGCCCGAAACGTCTCCTATTATATGTTTCCTTGTTAAGGCCACAGTGGGATTCATTAACCACTCTGTAGAGTCTCTTCTTGTCGTCTTGCGTTCCGTGAACTCGTCCACCTCGACTGGGCGGGCGGGCGAGTGGAATGGTGGCGGTCGAGACGGGACAGTGGCTGCGTCTTCATCCTTGTTGTACGTGTAAGTACGTAGAACTTCCTTCGCGCCGTACGTTGGACAACAAACTAAACACAAAAAGCAGTTTTAAAGAAACGAGTTTGTCAATCGAGATGATGTAAAAGCGCGCAGCTCCCAGTGGTTTCCAAATATCGGAAGCAAGAGCGTTCCAGACGGCCGCGTGACCGCCGTCTTTGTTTGATGGCAGCAGCCAGAAGCCGCCGCTGCTGCGAGGACGAGTGGAGGTCACGTGGTGGTGGTGTATTACTCCTTGACGAGATCAGCGACGTGTTGAGGTTCCCCTCCAGCAAGCACCTTGCCGTGAGTGACGAGTGCCACTCCGGCGTCTTCATTCAGCGAGCGGCACCCAATGCAACTCGACGAGCACCGGACGGACACGGCGGGGATCTTGCAATGTGGAACTTCTTTCGCGCCGTACGTAGCCACCCCCGCTAGGTCGGAGGTGCGGGAAGTGGCTGCAAGGTGGCAGAGCGGCGCGGTTGTGATTGCGCCGCCACGAAGCCGTTCGGCAGGCACCAAATCCCCGACCTCGCCACCACCAAGCAACGGAGCCGACCCCGCGTCCCCCTCACCTCACCTCACATGAACACACCCGCACTCATTTCCCCCCCCCATAGAGCTCCGAGGGGAGGTCGCCTGGCCGACCGGTTTTTATCCGAGAGACCCTTATCGGGATTAATTCTCACGGTTTCCGGCGATCAGGGAATTGGATGACCTCCCCCGTGCTACGTGGCACCGCGGCGCTGCGGCCGGCCTTAATATGGTGTGGTCGCGGCGTGGGGCATTCGGCCACCGCGGTTGAGGCGCATTTCCCCCCACACACACCCCCACGAGTCGACGGGGCAAGCAGGGGAGGCACGGGACAGCATGAATAGCGGGATCACAGGGGCTGTTGCGCATAGTCATGGAGGGTTGGGATAATTGCGCTTGAGCGCGCAGGCCCCATTGTTAGGGAGGGTAAGGGGTTAATTAGGATGTACGCCGCCAACGTCGCTCACTGATTAGCATATCAACAGCGCCCGGAACCGCCGTGCGCGGGCTCGGGGTGCGCGAGCCCATTGTTCAGCGCAGCATCCCCTTTGAGGTAGGGAGGATAAATAGAGGAGCGCAGAGGGGAAATCGCTCTCTTCTCTCCAGCGCCAGGCGACAGGACGCTCTCCAGTCCAGCGACCCGATCGTCCGTGAGACGCATCGAGGCACGCTGCGAGCACGGGATCAACGAACCGCCGTGGGCATCCAGCAGGGAGTAAGTAGGTGAATTAGAATCATAGCAGATAAATCGGGAATAGGTATAAAGGTATCAGCGTAGGCCAGCCTCGTCGACTCACTGATTTAACATAAATTACCAGGTATCAGATAATAAATCATTAATAGCGAAGCGTGGTCTCGCGTGATATTGTGCAGTGTGAGCGTGTGGGTGCGCGTGTGTACACTGTGGTTCACCACGTGAGTGAGCGCTGCGTAGAGCGGCGCACGAGTGGGTGTCGCGTGTGTGCAGGTGTGTGCGCTCGTAGTGTGGGTGAAGGGGTCGGTGCGTCCGCAGGTCCCCGATCCGTCTGTCGCCGCCGGGACTCGCGCAGTGTGAGGGCAGCGTCGTTCGCCCCCGACCCCCGTTTAATAGCGCGTGATCCGTGGAGAGACAACGCAGCGTCTGCAGGTGAACGAGGGCGTGCGGCGAGCTATGCCTCTCACACGAGCTCGCGGAGGGACGGACCAGGGAGGGGAGCCGTCGGGCGATGAGCCCAGCGACGGCAGCAGCTGCTCGCAGAGCAGCGAGGGGTCGGCGCACGGCGGAGCCCCTGCCATAGGCACGGAGCAGGGAGGGACTTCGGGGACCAGCGGCCCCAACACGGTCACTCTCGCATCACGAGGCCTCTCCCACGCAGATCGTCGGGATCTGTGTTTAGACTGGAGGAGGAATCCGATGAGTCGTAAAGTTCCTTTTCACAGATGTCCAGTAGCGGCGGGTCACAACGTCACAGAGAGAGAGAGGGGGAAACAGCACGGGCAGCCCTCGCCCAATCCACTGCTGGATGAGGGAGGGGATTTCACCATACTTCATCACGCTGGTCAGCGCGGGTTGGTGAAGACAGGGAACATAGAAGTACAGTGCGACAATGAATGTGGTTGCCACTGGTAAAATAGCCATACAGCCATGATACCCAAGGGGGAGCGGTGGCGCAGTGGTTGACACACTGCGCTGTGATCCCGTGATCTGAGTTCAATGTCCAGACGCTCCGGCTACCATCAGCGGCGAGCCTTGGAGCGCTCCCCGCCTTCACCAAGCCGCACTGACAAGCGGGGCGAGGGATGGTCACAGCCTCCAGGCCTCGTAGGGCACCCGCAACTTCCACAGTGCGGATTGCCTCCCTGGGCTAGGAGTGTGGAGGTGGGGGTGAGGTGTGACTGGCTGGGCTAGGAGTGTGGGGGTGGGGGTGAGGTGTGACTGGCTGGGCTAGGAGTGTGGAGGTGGGGGTGAGGTGTGACTGGCTGGGCTAGGAGTGTGGGGGTGGGGGTGAGGTGTGACTGGCTGGGCTAGGAGTGTGGAGGTGGAGGTGAGGTGTGACTGGCTGGGCTAGGAGGGTTGGGGTGGGGGTGAGGTGTGACTGGCTGGGCTAGGAGTGTGGGGGTGTGGGTGAGGTGTGACTGGCTGGGCTAGGAGGTGGAGGTGGGGGTGAGGTGTGACTGGCTGGGCTAGGAGTGTGGAGGTGGAGGTGAGGTGTGACTGGCTGGGCTAGGAGTGTGGGGGTGGGGGGAGGTGTGACTGGCTGGGCTAGGAGGTGGAGGTGAGGTGTGACTGGCTGGGCTAGGAGTGTGGGGGTGGGGGTGAGGTGTGACTGGCTGGGCTAGGAGTGTGGAAGTGGAGGTGAGGTGTGACTGGCTGGGCTAGGAGGTGGAGGTGAGGTGTGACTGGCTGGGCTAGGAGTGTGTGGGTGGGGGTGAGGTGTGACTGGCTGGGCTAGGAGTGTGGGGGTGGGGGTGAGGTGTGACTGGCTGGGCTAGGAGTGTGGGGGTGGGGGTGAGGTGTGACTGGCTGGGCTAGGAGGTGGAGGTGGGGGTGAGGTGTGACTGGCTGGGCTAGGAGTGTGTGGGTGGGGGTGAGGTGTGACTGGCTGGGCTAGGACTATGAGGTGGGGGTGAGGTGTGACTGGCTGGGCTAGGAGTGTGGGGGTGGGGGTGAGGTGTGACTGGCTGGGCTAGGAGGTGGAGGTGGGGTGTGACTGGCTGGGCTAGGAGTGTGGGGGTGGGGGTGAGGTGTGACTGGCTGGGCTAGGAGTGTGGAGGTTGGGGTGAGGTGTGACTGGCTGGGCTAGGAGGGTGGGGGTGGGGGTGAGGTGTGACTAGCTGGGCTAGGAGGGTGGGGGTGGGGGTGAGGTGTGACTGGCTGGGCTAGGAGTGTGGGGGTGAGGTGTGACTGGCTGGGCTAGGAGGGTGGGGGTGAGGTGTGACTGGCTGGCTAGGAGGTGGGGATGAGGTGTGACTGGCTGGGCTAGGAGGGTGGGGTGGTGGGGGGAGGTGAGGTGTGTGACTAGCTGGGCTAGGAGGGTGGGGGGTGGGGGTGAGGTGTGACTGGCTGGGCTAGGAGGGTGGGGGTGAGGTGTGACTGGCTGGGCTAGGAGGGTGGAGGTGGGGGTGAGGTGTGACTGGCTGGGCTAGGAGGGTGGGGGTGAGGTATGACTGGCTGGGCTAGGAGTGTGGAGGTTGGGGTGAGGTGTGACTGGCTGGGCTAGGAGTGGGAGGTGGGGGTGAGGTGTGACTGGCTGGGCTAGGAGTGTGAGGTGGGGTGAGGTGTGACTGGCTGGACTAGGAGTGTGAGGTGGAGTGAGGTGTGACTGGCTGGGCTAGGAGTGTGGAGGTGAGGTGTGACTGGCTGGGCTAGGAGGGTGGGGGTGAGGTGTGACTGGCTGGGCTAGGAGTGTGGGGGTGAGGTGTGACTGGCTGGGCTAGGAGGGTGGGGGTGAGGTGTGACTGGCTGGGCTAGGAGTGTGGGGGTGAGGTGTGACTGGCTGGGCTAGGAGTGTGGAGGTGAGGGTGAGGTGTGACTGGCTGGGCTAGGAGTGTGGAGGTGGGGGTGAGGTGTGACTGGCTGGGCTAGGAGTGTGAGGTGGAGTGAGGTGTGACTGGCTGGGCTAGGAGTGTGAGGTGGAGGTGGGGTGTGACTGGCTGGGCTAGGAGTGTGAGGTGGAGGTGGGGTGTGACTGGCTGGGCTAGGAGGGTGGGGGTGAGGTGTGACTGGCTGGGCTAGGAGGTGGGGATGAGGTGTGACTGGCTGGGCTAGGAGGTGGGTGGGGTGAGGTGTGACTAGCTGGGCTAGGAGGGTGGGGGGGGGGTGAGGTGTGACTGGCTGGGCTAGGAGGGTGGGGGTGAGGTGTGACTGGCTGGGCTAGGAGGGTGGAGGTGGGGTGAGGTGTGACTGGCTGGGCTAGGAGGGTGGGGGGTGAGGTATGACTGGCTGGGCTAGGAGTGTGGAGGTTGGGGTGAGGTGTGACTGGCTGGGCTAGGAGTGGGAGGTGGGGGTGAGGTGTGACTGGCTGGGCTAGGAGTGTGAGGTGGGGGTTAGGTGTGACTGGCTGGACTAGGAGTGGAGGTGGAGTGAGGTGTGACTGGCTGGGCTAGGAGTGTGGAGGAGGTTGACTGGCTGGGCTAGGAGTGTGGGGGTGAGGTGTGACTGGCTGGGCTAGGAGGGTGGGGGTGAGGTGTGACTGGCTGGGCTAGGAGTGTGGGGGGTGAGGTGTGACTGGCTGGGCTAGGAGTGTGGGAGGTGAGGGTGAGGTGTGACTGGCTGGGCTAGGAGTGTGAGGTGGGGGTGAGGTGTTGACTGGCTGGGCTAGGAGTGTGAGGTGGAGGTGAGGTGTGACTGGCTGGGCTAGGAGTGTGAGGTGGAGGTGGGGTTGTGACTGGCTGGGCTAGGAGTGTGAGGTGGAGGTGGGGTGTGACTGGCTGGGCTAGGAGTGTGAGGTGGAGGTGGGGTGTGACTGGCTGGGCTAGGAGTGTGAGGTGGAGGTGGGGTGTGACTGGCTGGGCTAGGAGGTGAGGTGGAGGTGGGGTGTGACTGGCTGGGCTAGGAGTGTGAGGTGGAGGTGAGGTGTGACTGGCTGGGCTAGGAGTGTGAGGTGGAAGTGAGGTGTGACTGGCTGGGCTAGGAGTGTGGGGGTGAGGTGTGACTGGCTGGGCTAGGAGTGTGCAGGTGGGGGTGAGGTGTGACTGGCTGGGCTAGGAGGGTTGGGGTGAGGTGTGACTGGCTGGGCTAGGAGTGTGAGGTGGGGTGAGGTGTGACTGGCTGGGCTAGGAGTGTGGGGTGAGGTGTGACTGGCTGGGCTAGGAGTGTGGAGGTGGGGGTGAGGTGTGACTGGCTGGGCTAGGAGGGTTGGGGTGAGGTGTGACTGGCTGGGCTAGGAGTGTGAGGTGGGGTGAGGTGTGACTGGCTGGGCTAGGAGTGTGGGGTGAGGTGTGACTGGCTGGGCTAGGAGTGTGGAGGTGGGGGTGAGGTGTGACTGGCTGGGCTAGGAGTTTGGAGGTGAGGTGTGACTGGCTGGGCTAGGAGTTTGGAGGTGAGGTGTGACTGGCTGGGCTAGGAGGGTGGATGTGGGGGTGAGGTGTGACTGGCTGGGCTAGGAGTGTGGGGGTGAGGTGTGACTGGCTGGGCTAGGAGGGTGGATGTGGGGGTGAGGTGTGACTGGCTGGGCTAGGAGTGGGAGGTGGGGTAAGGTGTGACTGGCTGGGCTAGGAGTGGGAGGTGGGGTGAGGTGTGACTGGCTGGGCTAGGAGTGTGGAGGTGAGGTGTGACTGGCTGGGCTAGGAGGGTGAGAGTGAGGTGTGACTGGCTGGGCTAGGAGTGTGGAGGTGGGGTGAGGTGTGACTGGCTGGGCTAGGAGTGTGAGGTGGGGGTGAGGTGTGACTGGCTGGGCTAGGAGTGTGGAAGTGGGGTGAGGTGTGACTGGCTGGGCTAGGAGTGTGGAGGTGGGGGTGAGGTGTGACTGGCTGGGCTAGGAGTGTGGAGGTGGGGTGAGGTGTGACTGGCTGGGCTAGGAGTGTGGAAGTGAGGTGTGACTGGCTGGGCTAGGAGTGTGAGGTGGGGGTGAGGTGTGACTGGCTGGGCTAGGAGTGTGGGGGTGGGGGTGAGGTGTGACTGGCTGGGCTAGGAGTGTGAGGTGGGGGTGAGGTGTGACTGGCTGGGCTAGGAGTGTGAGGTGGGGTGAGGTGTGACTGGCTGGGCTAGGAGTGTGAGGTGGGGGTGAGGTGTGACTGGCTGGGCTAGGAGTGTGGGGGTGGGGGTGAGGTGTGACTGGCTGGGCTAGGAGTGTGGGGGTGGGGGTGAGGTGTGACTGGCTGGGCTAGGAGTGTGAGGTGGGGTGAGGTGTGACTGGCTGGGCTAGGAGTGTGAGGTGGGGGTGAGGTGTGACTGGCTGGGCTAGGAGTGTGAGGTGGGGGTGAGGTGTGACTGGCTGGACTAGGAGTGTGAGGTGGGGGTGAGGTGTGACTGGCTGGGCTAGGAGGGTGGGGGTGAGGGTGAGGTGTGACTGGCTGGGCTAGGAGTATGAGGTGGGGGTGAGGTGTGACTGGCTGGGCTAGGAGTGTGTGGGTGAGGTGTGACTGGCTGGGCTAGGAGTTTGGAGGTGGGGGTGAGGTGTGACTGGCTGGGCTAGGAGTGTGGGGGTGGGGGTGAGGTGTGACTGGCTGGGCTAGGAGTTTGGAGGTGGGGGTGAGGTGTGACTGGCTGGGCTAGGAGTGTGTGGGTGAGGTGTGACTGGCTGGGCTAGGAGTTTGGAGGTGGGGGTGAGGTGTGACTGGCTGGGCTAGGAGTGTGGGGGTGGGGGTGAGGTGTGACTGGCTGGGCTAGGAGTTTGGAGGTGGGGGTGAGGTGTGACTGGCTGGGCTAGGAGTGTGGGGGTGGGGGTGAGGTGTGACTGGCTGGGCTAGGAGTGTGGAGGTGAGGTGTGACTGGCTGGGCTAGGAGTGTGGAGGTGAGAGTGAGGTGTGACTGGCTGGGCTAGGAGTGTGGGGTTGTGGGTGAGGTGTGACTGGCTGGGCTAGGAGGGTGGGGTGAGGTGTTAATCGCTGGGCTATGGAGAGGCGCCGAGAGTTCCCCGCGCGGCTGATAAGGCGATCCCCCAGCCGCTGACGTCTGCCGACAGGCCGCGCCGTCTCCCGGGAGACGCCTCCGTGCACACAAACAGCGCGCTCACCTCAAGCCCTCGCCCCAAGCCCTCGCCCCAAACCCTCGCCCCGAGCCCTCGCCCCAAGCCCTCGCCCCGAGCCCTCGCCCCAAGCCCTCGTCCCAAGCCCTCGCCCCAAACCCTCGCCCCAAGCCCTCGTCCCAAGCCCTCGTCCCAAGCCCTCGCCCCAAACCCTCGCCCCAAGCCCTCGCCCCAAGCCCTCGCCCCAAACCCTCGCCCCGAGCCCTCGCCCCAAGCCCTCGTCCCAAGCCCTCGCCCCAAGCCCTCGTCCAAGCCCTCGCCCCAAACCCTCGCCCCAAGCCCTCGTCCCAAGCCCTCGTCCCAAGCCCTCGCCCAAAACCCTCGTCCCAAGCCCTCGCCCCAAGCCCTCGCCCCAAACCCTCGTCCCAAACCCTCGTCCCAAGCCCTCGTCCCAAGCCCTCGCCCCAAGCCCTCGCCCCAAACCCTCGTCCCAAACACTCGTCCCAAGCCCTCGTCCCAAGTCCTCGCCCCAAGCCCTCGTCCCAAGCCCTCGCCCCAAACCCTCGCCCCAAGCCCTCGTCCCAAGCCCTCGTCCCAAGCCCTCGTCCCAAACCCTCGTCCCAAGCCCTCGCCCCAAACCCTCGCCCCAAGCCCTCGTCCCAAGCCCTCGTCCCAAGCCCTCGTCCCAAACCCTCGCCCCAAACCCTCGTCCCAAACCCTCGTCCCAAGCCCTCGCCCCGAGCCCTCGTCCCAAACCCTCGCCCGAGCCCTCGTCCCAAACCCTCGTCCCAAACCCTCGTCCCAAGCCCTCGTTCCAAACCCTCGCCCCAAGCCCTCGCCCCAAACCCTCGTCCCAAACCCTCGTCCCAAGCCCTCGTCCCAAGCCCTCGCCCCAAGCCCTCGTCCCAAGCCCTCGCCCCAAACCCTCGCCCCAAGCCCTCGTCCCAAGCCCTCGTCCCAAGCCCTCGCCCCAAACCCTCGTCCCAAACCCTCGTCCCAAGCCCTCGCCCCAAGCCCTCGCCCCAAACCCTCGCCCCGAGCCCTCGCCCCGAGCCCTCGTCCCAAGCCCTCGCCCCAAGCCCTCGTCCCAAGCCCTCGCCCCAAACCCTCGCCCCAAGCCCTCGTCCCAAGCCCTCGTCCCAAGCCCTCGCCCCAAACCCTCGTCCCAAACCCTCGTCCCAAGCCCTCACCCAAGCCCTCGCCCCAAGCCCTCGCCCCAAGCCCTCGTCCCAAACCCTCGCCCCAAGCCCTCGCCCCAAGCCCTCGTCCCAAGCCCTCGCCCCAAGCCCTCGCCCCAAACCCTCGCCCCAAGCCCTCGCCCCAAACCATCGCCCCAAGCCCTCGCCCCAAGCCCTCGTCCCAAGCCCTCGCCCCAAGCCCTCGCCCCAAACCCTCGCCCCAAGCCCTCGCCCCAAACCCTCGCCACAAGCCCTCGCCCCAAGCCCTCGTCCCAAGCCCTCGTCCCAAGCCCTCGCCCCAAACCCTCGTCCCAAACCCTCGTCCCAAGCCCTCGCCCCAAGCCCTCGCCCCAAACCCTCGCCCCGAGCCCTCGCCCCAAGCCCTCGTCCCAAGCCCTCGCCCCAAGCCCTCGTCCCAAGCCCTCGCCCCAAACCCTCGCCCCAAGCCCTCGTCCCAAGCCCTCGTCCCAAGCCCTCGCCCCAAACCCTCGTCCCAAACCCTCGTCCCAAGCCCTCGCCCCAAGCCCTCGCCCCAAACCCTCGTCCCAAACCCTCGCCCCAAGCCCTCGCCCCAAGCCCTCGTCCCAAGCCCTCGCCCCAAGCCCTCGCCCCAAACCCTCGCCCCAAGCCCTCGCCCCAAACCCTCGCCCCAAGCCCTCGCCCCAAGCCCTCGTCCCAAGCCCTCGCCCCAAGCCCTCGCCCCAAACCCTTGCCCCAAACCCTCGTCCCAAGCCCTGCGGCCCCGCGGTGGTTGCGCCCCGACAAGCCGAGGAGGAGTCGCGCTGCCTCGGGCACGCTTTGCTTGCTGTGCCCGCGATCCGGGTTCGACTCATGGCCGTGGCACGTGCACGAGTTTCCCGTAGGTGGAATCGGCCTTGCTATTAACTCAGTGAATGCGCAATGCGCCTTTGCCCGCTGAGGGTCGGCTATCCAATGTCCGCAGCTCGCACAGATGGCTCCTCGTCACGCCAGGGGCATCGCCCGCTATGAAGATGCGGCCATTGCATCTGGGGAGACCTCGCGTCACCAAGCCGCCGCCTTTTTCTTCGTGTGGCTGCTGTTGTCGGTGAATCGCTGCGACGATACCTCTACTTCACATCGATCTTTGTGGGTCTCTACCTGATTCTAGAGGTCTCTATGTGAATCTACGGTTCTCTTTGTGTGTTTAGGGGTCTATATGGGAGTCTGGGGGTCTTTATGTGAGTCTAAGGGTCTGTATGTCAGTATAGGGGTCTCTACATGAGTTTAGGGGGCTCTATGTGAGTCTAGAGGTCTCTACGTGAGTCCAGGGGTCTCTATGTGAATCAGTGGGTGTCCGTGTGGCTCTAGATAGCTCTATATGTGCTTATAACCAGCTCCGATTTGACAACAGAAGTCTCACTCCGAATCAGTCGGGCGGCGTTTTATTTTAATTGGCCGCACAATATTGTGTGGAAGCTACCTGGTCTGTCGCTCCGCACGAAGCTTCGGGTCTTCTCGGCCACGGTCACGCCATCCCTTCTCTATGCTTGCGAAACATGGACCACTCTAATGGAAAATATGCGCCGGTTTGAAACATTCATGCTGGCCTGCCTACGATCCACCTTGGGTTTAACCAGGCTGGATTGTGTGAGGAGCTCACAAATCCTTGAAAGATCTGGACACATTCTCATCAGTGCGCTCCTCCGGCAGGCAAGGCTGCGTTGGCTGGGTCATGTAGCCCGCGTGCCCCGGCCGCCGCGTGCCCCGGCCGCCGCGTGCCCCGGCCACCGCGCGCCCCGGCCACCGCGTGCCCCGGCCACCGCGCGCCCCGGCCACCGCGTGCCCGAGCAGCTTATGATTGGCCGGGCGGAGCTCCGCGCCACTCGGCGGAGTCCCCCTGCGGCCGCGCGGGGCCCAGCGCCGCGTGCGATGCGCGTCGACCCTCACCGTCTGGAGCGCTCGCGGTGACCTCGCGTCGACCGGAGTCGTCCCTGGGCTCACGCGGCCCTCAACTGCCTCTGAATCTCAGCGGCTCGCCCGACTCTGGGGACCCGGTCCAGCCGGCGCCTTTGCGCGTCTCAAAAACAACACGGGCGGGCATTCCCATCGTCACCTCGAGTCAATGCGCGCGTCACAGCGCAGGCTACGGTTGAACAGTATCGCGTGGCTTTATAGTCGCGTGGTTTAAAATCTGGGGATTTTTGTGTGTTCGTGTGTGTGCGCGCGTATTCTTCGCATGGAAAAGAAAAACACGGCACAAAACCGGTACCGGCTTGCCATCAAAACACAAATGACCACAGCAACAGCCAAAACGATTTCATCTGAAGACGCTGTACAGACACTGCGAATACATGTAGTACAGAGAGAAATTCATAGCTCCGTCTTGTGGGTCTCTGCGTGCGTCTGTGGATCCTCACGTGAGACGATGTACAGTATGCGTCTCTGTGTGGGTCTTCTGGTCTCTATGTGGGAATATCGGTCTCTTTGTGGGTCTCTATGTGAGTCTGTGGGTGTCTACAACACGTGGATTTACACTGTATCTAAATACAGGCGTGTCTCGCTTAACGAGCGAGATATGTTCTCCGAAAATGTATCGGTAAACGACCGTCGTTTTCCCACTGACTCCCTCCCATGTTAAAAGCTGAGATCCGTTTCAGCCCCCAAATTTTCCATTTTAACATGCGAAATACAAATGACTGTATCATTTTAAAATTAAGGTATGAAACACCACATTTAACACTTACTGTACCACACATGAACAACCACTGTGCAAGATCCCCCATATAGCCTATGATATCACCTCCTTACAGCAACATATTTGAAATCACTCGCACATACTCTCTCCACGCAATCGCACAACCCTCTCGCTCTCTCATACATACACAACAAAAGGACAAAGGTCCCCCGTATAGCATGTAATAGACTGTTGGGGCAAGTGCTGTTAGCGAGCGCCTATGAAGGCCGACACGGCACACGAGGGGGTGGGTGGCCAGCACCACGCCCGGCCACCTTTGTCTTACTCGTGGCGATGTTTTTACACACCCCACCAGGTTCTCATTTGTATCTGATTCGTCCTAGGGGAGGCCCAGGACCGGTTTATATAACCATCACTTGTGTTGGCCGTGAGGGGGAATCAAACTCGGGTCGCCGGGGTCGTAGCGCCGCGCGCTAACCGTTGCGCCACCGCTCCCTCCACCTACTCCTCCCCCACCCACACATTACACGAGTGCACCCCCCTGCCGCTCGTTACGCGAACATTCGCTCGTTTTGTGAACAAATCAGGCGAAATTGAAATTGACCATTCTAGCGAATTCTCGTAAAAAGAACGCTCGTTAAGCGAAGACACGCAACTCAAGAGACTGCGCAGGGAACAGTTTCCACGCGGATTGTGCGTAGAGAGGCAACCAAGTCATGGACAGGGAAGACCAAGATCTTGAGCCTGGACCCGAAGAGTGGAGGCAGGGGGTGGACAGCACGGCTGGCAGGGGCATGGAGGCCCACGCTGGGGGCAGCAGAGGAGGGTGAGCGACCTCCCTGCGTTCTACGCAAGAGTCCGCGTCCTTCGGCTGAGACGACTCGACAAATGTTAATTTCAGTTTGGCGTGCCTTCCCTCGGCTTCATCGTCACACTCTGCCAACAAGATCCATGAAAGCCGAATTATCAAAAACACATCAGGATTAGAAACCTTATTTATCCTGGAGAAATCCGATGAGATGTGAAGTTCTGTTTCATAGATGCCCAGTATGGGCGGGTCAGAAAGTTACCACAAACGATACAAAAAACGATAGGAGTGCAGAGTATGGGAACGTTAAGCAAATCAAATCACTAAATATAAATAAAACAGATAAAATATATAAGTTCAATTTGTACCTATTCCCAATCTTGGGCAAGGAAGCCAAACAACAGCAAGAACAGTCCCAGACCACACCATCAAATGGCAGATTAAAATTGAACTTCAATACATTAGGAAGGATGAAAGTTACAAATCACATTGGCAAATACAGTTGTATCCAGCACGAATCGTCTGCCTCAGGATATTTTTTGAAGGAAGATTTACGAAGTTAAGGAGGAAACAAATATGTTCCAAAACGTTGTTGCTGCAATGGGAAAGCCTTTGTCACGAGATCCAATTCTTGTTCTTGGGATAGTTCGAAGGGCATTAGATGGACGTCTTCGGTTAATTCGGGTTGGCAATGGGGGTTATGAAGTAGCTATCGCGCACATTTGCCAATTAAGATTTTATGAATGAGCAGAGCCCGATGTAGATTTCGTCTTGCATCAAGTAATGTGAGATTGGATTTTAAGTAGAGGGTCACAATGGTGGGTCCTGTATGGTACATCCAGTGCAAATCAAAGAGAAGAATGGTGAAGAGAGTTTAGTCTGTTTAGTGTTTCATTAGTAGCTGATCTGTAAGCAGCGACATGGCAGTAAAGAATTGGTAGAATGACGGCTTCAACAATTTGCAGGCACAATCGAATGGAAACACAATGTGTGTTTCTGTATAAAAACTCAATTTTTTAAAATTTTCTTTGAGATGTGATGAATATAGGGTTGGAATGTAAGTTTTTAATCAATCAATAAACCCAAGTATTTGAATCACTCCATTTGTTCAATTTAGTTGTTTTTGATATCCCTACTCAGTGAAGGGAATAAAATAAAAAAACGTGGTTTGAAGAAAATAGCATGAAGCATGATGCCAATTTGGGAATCAGCACCATTCCAAACATCCAGATGCAAGCAAAGAAGGCTGCTACTGGTGTATGCCAATCAGTATCGAAGACAACGCCTTTATTATTATTTTTTATCAGAGCATGTTTGTTCGTATGTATGTTCACCATAAGTACGTGTGGTTAATGCAGACTTGATCCCTTGCAGAAGGTTGATATTTAGTGTTTAAACATCTTAACACCTGTTGTATTGGCAGAAAGGGTAAAACCTCTTCCGATTGTTCATATCCAGATACAAATTTTGTCTGCCTGAGTTCAACAACAACAAAAGGTTAAGGCATTTTTTTCTAAAAATATAGTCTAAAAAAAGGAGCGGTAAGGGAGAGGTTAGGCAGGACGTGTGGTGTGTGGCCGTGGGCAGGTGAGTGTGGTGGTGGTGGGTATGAGAAGGTGGCAGTCAGTAGGTGAGGGTGGCTGTGTTGACTCTCTCGCTCGGTATGCAGGAGGTCGTGGGTTCGATCCCGACCCTGACGCCTGCTGTTGTCTATTCGGAGTTTGCGTGTTCTCCCTGTGGTCGCGTGTATTGTTCTCCGGTTCCTTCAGTATTTTCCCTCTTACTTCTAGAAACACGCGTTTTAGAGTATTTTACTGCTTTACATTTCTACATCAGCCACAATCCGATGGGCTATGAAGCTCTTTTTCACAGATGTCCATGAGGGGCGGTTAAGAACGTTACAACAACAAACATACAAAACACTATAGTCCATTGAGGTATTAACCTATTTTTCAAAACCGACCTGGCCAAAAATAACAGCTCAACGAGAAGGCTTATTACGCGGAAATTTCAAGCAGCAAAATAATGTCGGAGGACCCGGAGAAAAAAATCCACGCGACCACGGGGAGAACACGCGAACTCCAAATATGCAGCAGGCGTTGAGTGATCGTTTGTGGCCAGGTCGCTTCTGAAAAAGAGCGATACAGCTCATTGGGCCTTACCTGGTCAAATAAACAAGTGAGTTCAAATCGGCGAGTGTGGCGGTGAGTAGGTGAGTGCGTCGGCAGATCAGCAAGTGTGCATGCGAGTCGGTGAGAGTGCAGGCGGGCAGATAGACAGGCAGGCGGACAAGCGGGCAGGCAGGCAGACAGGCGGGCGGGCAGGCAGGCAGGCGGACAGACAGACAGGCAGGCAGGCGGGCAGACAGACAGGCAGGCGGACAAGTGGGCAGGCAGACAGACAGACAGGCAGGCGGACAAGCGGGCAGGCAGACAGACAGACAGGCAGGCGGACAAGCGGGCAGGCAGACAGACAGGCGGGTGGGCAGGCAGGCGAGTCTCGCGAACCTCAGAATGCATTCCACCGTGAGGCCACGCTGCCCCGAGGGGGCTTGGTCACGGCGGTGTGGGTGATGGAGCGGGTGACGGTGTGGGTGATGGTGGAGGTGATGGTGGTGTCGTGGGGGTGTGGTTGTTGTGGTGGTGGGGGGAGGGGCAGTTGTCGCCTCAATGCATCGAAGGAAGAAGGATTGAGGTGAATTCTGTCACCGACCCCGGGGAAGGGCGGACACCGTCGCGACCTCGTAGAGCAGCAGCAGCTGCCGAGACACCGCGTAGAAAACAGCCCCCACCCGCACCACCCCCACCCGCACCACCCCCACCCGCACCACCCCCCACCCGCACCACCCCCACGCGCACCACCCCCACCCGCACCACCCCCACGCGCACCACCCCCCATCCGCACCACCCCCACGCGCACCACCCCCACCCTCACCACCCCCACGCGAACACCCCCACCCTCACCACCCCCGCCCGCACCACCCCCACCCGCACGACCCCCACCCCTCACCACCCCCCACCCCGCACCAACCCCACGCGCAACCAACCCACCCGCCCCACACCCACCCGGCACCACCCCCCACTTCGCACCACCCCCACCCTCCCACCCGCCACCTATCACCACCCCCACGCGCACCACCCCCACCCGACACCCCACCCCTCCACCCCCACCATCCTCACCACCCGCAAGCGCACCACCCCCACCCGCACCAACCCCCTCCACCCTCACCACCCTCACGCTCACCACCACCCACCCGCACCACCCCCACCCGCACTCACGCCCCACTCCACCACCCCTCCACCCGCACTACCCCCACCCCAAAACCCTCATCTCACCCACCCCCCATCCGCACCACCCGCACTCTCCCACACCCACCCGCACCACCCCCACCCCCGCACACCCCCACCCTCACCACCCCCACCCGCACCACCCCCACCCACACCACCCCCACCCGCACCACCCCCA